TTAACTTTCCAATTCAAAAATAAGATTTCAAAGAGCTTTTGTGGATGGCCTCATCTACCTCTCTCGCGCTTCATCTTGTATCGATCTGTAGTGCATTGTGGTAATGGTGGCAGTGCGTTCATGTTATGTTGTTAGGCTTTGTTGGTGGTGGTGGTGTTGGCGGTGATCACAAGTGATTTTTAAGATAGTTTTTCGAGGTGGTTTTGTGGTGGTGGTGGTCAAATGTGTGCATGACACTTACGATTTGGTGTCGAGTGTTTGGTGATGCCACGATCTGACAGCAATTGTGCCAGAGTTTGGTGTGTGGTAGTGGGTTTGTATTAATGTGGTGGTGGTTTTACATGATGTGGTGGTGATGTGGTTAGTAATCGAACAATGGTCTTGAGTGGATGGAATGGGATGGTGGATGTTTGTGACCAATAAATAATATGTTATCTAAAAAATATTATTGTGGCTCACAATTTATTAAGTTGTGATCGAAAAATTATTGTAACCATTTAATTTGATATTTTGTAACCGATAAATAAGTCGTGAATTATATAAGTTTTGATTTTGTAATTGATGATGACTTATAAAAATTTTGATTTGTGACCTCTTAAATTTTTGATCTGTGACATATAAGATTTTTTTTATTTGTGATTGAAAAAAAATAAATTGTAACCAACTAATTCAATAATTTGTTACCAAATTGTACATACTTGTGACCTTAATATATTTAATAAAATATTTTTAAATTAATTATTTTGTGAACATTATTTAATAAGATTTTTGAAATTTTAAATATTACTTCTTAGTTTTGAAATAGGTCATTATTAAACTTTTATATATGTATTTTTCTTAATAGGAATTTCCATTGGTTCCAAATAAAAGTCCGTGAGTATGGATCACTCAAATTCACATGGCACTTGCTTATTGGACAAATGCGCTTAGCGAGAATTGTCATTTGTACTTGTTTGGAATATTGTAGATCTTGGATTAAATTCAACGATTGAAAATCATCTCGTGGTTACTTTCTATTTTTGTCTTATCTCTCGCTTGAACATTGATTTTGAATTTTGAATTCACTTTATCTTGATCCTATAATAGAAAATGGCTTTTTTTGGTATCAAGTGGCTTTTTTGGGTATCATTTGGACTTGACAAAAAAAAGAATATTAGAGAGAGGACCAAGTGAGAGGGGCTTGTTTTTCCAATGAAAATTTTTGTTTATCTTCGATGAGTTTTTCTTAGTAAATTCATTGTCACTCCATTTGGATGACAATATTTTGATCATTTGTAACACAAATCTAAACTCAATATCAAATACTCCATTGATGGTGACGTTGAAGAACGTTTGGATCGATTTTATCACATTGAGAGATCTTATTCTTCATTGTGAATTGTAACAAATCATTATAATCTACATTTTATATCTACAAAATCTGGATAGCAATTGTAATTTCAATTCAAATTAGGTCATCACTTGTTTATTTCTTTCATAAAACATTTACATACATAGACAAACATATTTATGCATCATTCCTGGAGAGTAAATGAGTACAACTCAAGAATAAATTTACGTGTCGCTTCTAGGGCTGGGCAAATCTCCCGAACCGAACCGACTGAACTAAACCCGAACCAAACTGAACCGAACCCGACGGTTCTTGTCAAATTAAATACCCGAACGGGTATCTGAATTGAGAACTGACGGGTTCGATTCGATTTTCGATTCTAGACCAAGAATCGAAAAACCGAATAAGAACCGAATCTTTCTAATTTTTTTTTATATTGAGTAAATCAAATTATTTTAATTTTAATTTTTTCTAAACAAATTAACAATTTCTAGATTCAAATTTTTGGCCCAATAATTTGTTTCATTTTTAATTTTTTAATTTTTGGCCCAATTGCCCATTTTATTGTTTCATTTCTTAGCCCAACAAGATCCAATCCACTAAATAACCCTAAACACCTACACTAAAGTACATAACGTTGTCTCGACTCTTGCACTCACTCTCGTAGCCTCGCTAACATTCCAAAACCTATACAATCGTCGATCGACGCTGTAACATCCGATCGAAGCTATGAACTCCGTCGACCAAAATTTTGACCGTAGCGATCATTTGAACAAGGTAGCCTACTAGTTTCTGACATTCCAAAACCATTGAATGTACCATTGGTTGTATTTATATAATGTTGTTATAAATGTTAAAAAATTTAATTATAGTACAGAACCAAACGGAATCGAACCGAACCCGAACGGTTCCATAATTATATTTGGACTCGACGATTCGATTTACTAGATACCCAAAAATTTTGATTTGGTTCGGTTCTAAAGTACCCAAAAATTTTGATTTGGTTCGGTTCTCTTTAGAACCGAACCGAACCGACCCGCGCCCATCAAAGAGAACCGAACGGAACCGACCAGTGCCCACCCCTAGTCGCTTCAATCTTTGATTTGGCACCAAATACCAAAAAAAGAAAAAAAAAAAGTGGGGTTAACTATTTAAAGACTAGGGTTGCCCAATTTCCCCCAAGAGACCCCTGTTTTACCTCCAAAGTAAAACAATTTTTAACCACATATTCTCATTTTAACCATCATTCACACAATAAAATATTTGAAACATAAATTTAAAATTTTTTTTCCATATTTAACTACACATTCTTCAAAGATTTATCATTCCAAAATTCATTTTCTTCAAAATATTCATTAACATAGATGTCAAACATAGGCCTAAATAAGTTCAATATTGTCATATATGAGAAGACCTACTTAGCCCTGTTTGACAATCATTATTTAAAATTCTTTTTTCTACAAACTAATTTTCAATCATGTATTCATACAATAAAATATTTTGCATGCAAATTTAAATTTTTTTCTAACTTTTTAATTACACATTCTCCTAAAATTACTATTTTAAACATTATTTTTCAACATAATAATTGTCAAAGGGGGGCTTAATTTTCAAAAATTGTTTACAAAATGGGACTAACTATGTCTAGGGATGTCGATGGGCCGAGCTGAGCCGACTCGGCCCATGAAAGCACGAGCTCGACTCGGGCTGGCCACAAGCCGAGCTTGTGCTCGTTATGAAACAAGCTGAGCTGACCTCGGCTAGTCCAAAAAAGGGCGAGCTCGTGGGCCGAGTCGAGCCCAACTCGCGAGTAGACGTCGTTTTTCATTTTTTTTTTATTTGGAGAACAAATAGGTAATTTGAAAAATAAAAAAGTAATTCTTTTTTTAACTAAAAGAGATAGAAAAATAAATATGAAAACTTTATTTTTTCTATTTTTCTTTTTAAAATAGACAAAATATAAACCATCCTCCTTTATCCGGACTTGGGATCGATTAGTCAAATTTTCAGTAGTCGGAGTTAAAAATTGTACACGAACAATTTTTTGTAGCGTGTACAATTTTTTAAAGAAAATTAAAAGTAACGATAAGAAAAGAAAAGTTTCATCAATATAATTAAATCAAATATCACTTATTTGACGATATGCAATTTCGACATATTTATCTTGTAGTCGAAAATGAGCGTCCTGACAATCCTTAACGCACATTAACGTTTCTAAAATATCTTTTTTTCAGTCGGCTACTGACCTCGCTCAAAACTCTTTTATCTGCACTAAAAGCAGATTCCGAAGCAACAGTGCTAACCGGAGGTGTCAGCAGATCTTTTACAATCGCAGATATAACTTGCCAGCGTCGTTCATACATTCGCCAAAATTCAATTACTTCGTCTGAACTTTTTTTTAATTGTTTTATCTCTTGGCATATTCTAGTTGAAATAATCAATTAATTCAGCAAGCAATGCATTATGACTTGAGCCCGTAGATGTATGATGAGAATGAGATACAGATAGTGATGACATGGCAGTGACAGTGGTAGTAGATGAACACATTGCAGATGAATCAAATCTATACGAATTAATGCCTGAAAATAAATTAAATATTTCTGCATCTTCTTCTTCAATTTCAGTGGAAGGAGTAGGTGCAGATAGTACCCGACAAATATTGGTACTCATTCGATTCGCATATAATTCATACACTTCACATAATGTTTGCTCTAAATTTCTATATGTGATAGGTGTATCAAATGTTAAGGCATTTGAAATTTGATCAATTATATATTTAGTTCTCGATAAATTATATCGGGAGTCCATCACGCATGCTAAAGGAAATAACATAGGCAAATCTTCACAATATTTTCTAAATTTTAATTTCATAGCAATTATAATTTGACTAAAATTATGGTCAATTCTATATTTATGAAATGTTCTTGCAATTATATAAAAACGTTCAAATATCATACAGCTGATGGGATAGTAAACGCCCGATAAAATCTTAGTGGTTTCATAAAAAATATTAAAAAATTTTTAACTTTCAAGGCTAAATACTAATCACGTTCAGTCAACATACCCTCGTCATTACTTCTAACATGTCTATTGTTATAAAAGTCAGTTATTAAATATTCAAAACCTTCACATGATTTTAATAACAAGTAAGTAGAGTTCCACGTATGACCTACGTCGCTAACAAATGTTTTAGCATTTTGCACTCCTATTTCGGCACAATAATCCTCAAATGCTTGTTTTCTACTTGGAGAGATTGTGATATATATTAGTGCGTTCTTAATATTTTGAAGTTCATCCTTTATATATTTTAAACCATCTCGGACAATTAAATTCAAAATATGACATACACAACGAATATGAAACAAATACCCACCAAAATCAGGTTGTAGTACCCTATGCAATTTTTCAGCAACTACTTTATTAACACTAGCATTATCGAAAGTAAATGAACGAATTTTACCTTCGCAATAATATTCTCTAATAATACTAATAATAGCATTAAATATATTATTAGCGTTGTGAGGAAACTCAATAATTCTAAAAGCAATAATTTTTTTATGCATGCACCAAAGTGGGTCTATATAATGTGCAGTTGCAGCTATATATGCTCTTTTATTAATCTCTTCCTATATATCTGAAGTTAAAGATATAACACCCCAATATTTTTGCAAATCCATAATTAATTGTTGTTTTGTTGAAGTAAAATATTGTATTGTATCAGAATGAAGAGTGTTTCGATTTACCTCAACGTACCTTGGCTGCAGATATTCTTTCACATACAAGACGTAGTGTTGGTTGTCTATTAATGCCAAAGGCAACTCAACACCAGCAACAAACTTTACCATTCCGGTTCGAGCTTTCTCCTCCGAATACACCCATGTGGATAAGGTTGCAGTAGAACCACTTGCGTTTGGACTGCCAAATTGCAATTGTGTTTGACAGCCTGGAATAAGTCCGTGTTTGGCCGCCCATACTTTGTAATGACGGTTGAGATGGGTGGTACCAATTCTTCTTTGCCATGCCAATCTTTGTTGGTAGTATTTACATACTGCTCTGGATTCTTAGACTCCATTGACGATTTTTCCCGTTGAAATCAACTTAATGTGATCCCAACATTTTGCTTGTATTTTCCCCTTTCGGTTTCCTCTTACATCAGGAATGTTTAATTCAGTCTCTTCTTCCTGATCGTGTTCCTCTTCGAGAACGTCAACATCATCCAAATTAATTGGATAATTTGGATTGCCGCTTACATGATGATGAAAATCCAAATCTGAAATATTTTTAGGTAGGGGTACGTCATTTAGACCTTCAAATTGCTTCTGAAGTTGACTTTGTGGTGTCATAAGCGATTCGTTTCCTCCCACACCAAACAAGTTTTCAACAAATGAGCATGGATCCATTTGTTTAGTTATAATAAGTAATAACTAGTAGAAGAATAATTGTATAAATGTAGTGAGAAATGAAAATTGGATGAAATTTCAATAAATATAGTGAGAACTGAGAAATGAGAATTGGATATTGTATAAATTATTTAAAAAAATTGCAAGTTATCAACACAATAGAAGAAAATTGAGAGAAAGATAATTGAGAGTTGAGAGAATTGTAAAAAAAATTCGTGGCTAAATGCCACTATTTATAGAAGAAAAAAATAAATAAAAATAAACATAAGGACCAAAACGGTCACTGAAAAAATTCAGTGACCGTTAACGGTCAAAAAAGAGAAAAAATAAATAAATAAATGGGGGACTGAAACAGTCACTAACAAAAGTCAGTGACTGTTTCATAAAGTGACCGAAACGGTCAAATATCAAAAAATGTGATCGTTTCGGTCACATTTTCATACGAGCCCACGAGCCGCTCGTGGGGTCGCGGCTCATTTTTTGTGCGAGCCGAGCATGCTCGGGCTTGTGTTTTTATGAGCCCGAGCCGCCCATGAGATCCATTTTCGCAAGCTGCTCGGCCCATTTGCCACCCCTAACTATGTCAGTCTACTCAGAGCCCGTTTAAGCCTCATTTTCTTAAAATGCATTTTGGAATAGTATTTTTAATGAAGAATGTGTGAATAAAAAATAAAGAAAATTTTTAAATTTACGTGTATTATTATTTTATTAAAAAAATGCTTGGATGAAAATGAAAGGAAAAAACTGTGTTTTGAAAATATTGAGGACCAAATAAGGCTCATCTTCTCATTTCTTTATAAATTTTCAAATGAAAAATTCTAAACGAACAGGGTTGGTGATAAGCCCTGTTGACAGGGGCTGGGGTTGAGGATGAGCCAAGTGTCAATAGGGCCTGTAACTGGGCGCCATTTATTTAGAAGAGTTCTTTTCAAATTATCCAAATATGATAGACCATTAGCTTGTAGATGCTCACTATCCAAGAAAAGGCTTCGAATCGAAGAGAATAATTTCAAATATTATCGTACTCTAAAAATTATCATTTTAGAAGATGGAGACATTGAGATTGAGTTTATTCGAGTGTATCAACTTATTCATATAAAATATTAATTTATGATTTTTTTTCAAAGGCAACAGTAATTAAAATAACGATTTTTTAGTATTAATACAATATTATTTTAGAATATTTTAATATTTAAGTTTTATTTCTCCGGGAACAATCAATATCATATTATTTTATAATATTGAAATTCTTGACGGTATACTCTTTCGGGAGTGTAAACTCAATAGTTTTCCAAAATTTGTTTTCCAAGAACAAAAATAAAAACATTTTTCTAAAGATATTAATATTGTAAAATTTCTTTTTTTTTTTTTCAAAATAAATATGCAAGATTCTTCTAAAAATATTGTTCTATAATAATAGACAGTTCTTTGAGAATAATGATGCAATATTTTTCAAAAATAATGATATAACCAATGCTTTGAAAATCGACCCGAAAAAGGTGAAGGGTCAAAAGGTTCAACCGAAATCGAACCGGATGCAATAAATACATATAAAAATAATAAAATACTATGAAAACAATAATTTTTTAAAAAAAATTTCATATTAGTAATTTGTTAATTATATTTATTATTCTATAATTTGTTAACATTTTTGTTATGTCACTATCTCACATTGGAAGTTTATGAAACTATTGGAGAGAAGTTACATCTATAAAATGCAATATCATACATTGGAAGTTTGTGAAACCATTTGAGAGGGATACATCTATAAAAGGATCAGGTCATCTAATACTTCTCTATTATCCTTTGAATTGTTGTTTATGAGACCTATTCATGAACTTAAAATTTTTTAAACTTACTTAAAAAAAAAAAAAAGGAAGAAAGGAAAACCACGAAATAGCGATCGGTTCACATAGGCCAATTCGGTGGATTTTTAAGCGGTTTAGTCGTAAGTGGTTAATCGGACATGACTATCTCAATTTTGGGCCCGATTCACTATTTTATCGGTTGAACTAGCTTGGCCCGACCCATTTTGATAACATTGGATACAGCATTCTTCAACAAAATTGACATACAAATTTATTCTTCATAAAAAATAGTAGCTTAATATTCTTCTAAAGCACCCGTTTGAACCACATTATTGTAAAAATGAGAATGAAAATATTGTAGTTATGAGTCTCACACAAGAGATAAAAAGTCAAATATATAGCTTAATGTAATGGATAACGGTAACATTTTTCATTTTAATGAGAAAAAAAATAGGGCTCAAACAGCGCCAAAATATTAAAATTTATAATGCTAGAATCTTCGTGAATAAGTAATGTTGTATCAAAATATTTAGGACATGTTTTTGCCCATTTAATTTCAAAATGTGTATTATGGAATAGTGATTGATGTTGAAATATATGGATAAAAAATAATGAAAAGTTTTTTATTTATGTGTCATATTATTTTGCCCTCGTTTGATTCCCATTTTGGAGGAAATAATGCATTTTGACTAGTAGATTGATGGAGAATTTATGGTTAAAAATTAAGAAAAAATTTTGAATTTACATGGTAATATTTTTTATTGAAAAATATGTGGTTAAAAATGAACTTTGAAAAATGATTTTTTAGAAAAATAAGAATCAAACAAGAGCATAAAGAATGTGTAATTGAAAATGAGTTTTGCAAAAAAAATAATGTGGTAGAATGTTTGTCAAACAAAAGCCTAATAATAAAGTTAGCTTATTTAGGAGTAACAAGATATATTCTTTTATAATAACTAGTCGCATGCTCGTGCAATGCGCGAAATGGGTTTTTTCTTAAAGTAATATTAGTGTATCGCAAAATGGAAAATGCATAGACCTAATGGAATAGGAGATATCCATAATAAAATAATGTTAAACTTACACCATAAATTCTAAACAAGAATCAATACTTTATCATGAGAAGTGAAAAGATTTCCATAGATAAAAGTATCTCAAATTGATCCTATAGTTGTGTTTCCCACAAACAAAACAAGAAAGACATAAAGGGAGGAATTGACGCATATGGAACAACCAGGTGCCTTAAGGAACACCTGTGTGGGTTTTGCGTTCATATAAAACTAATTCAACTTGAACTCTAGCTCTTCAAAGAGCCTCGGCAAAACTCTTACTGGAAGCAAAATGTGTTGAAAGTACATTGTTATAGCCTATGAATCGCATATGAGCTCTTTTATAATTGTTCAAAGTAATCTTTTGAGTGAAAATATTACTTTCTTCTAAAAGACAGTGAATTTTGAGTACTTGATCTATTAAGTTGAGGGTGATGTATTCATTTTGCATAAATGGGACCATCAAGTGTCATGTGTGTGGCTGGAGAACATTTATTAACAAGAAGTTTATGGCACAAGCATAAGAACAATTACAAAGTTTGAGCATTTTACCAGCTGGATTTTACCTCCGGTGTGCCTTCGTTCACTTGATGCAATTTTCCAGCTGCATTTATGTACGCTAGAACTATCCTTTTGTTTGTTAAATTAAATGAGGGAAAGCGAACTTATGTGATTCCAGCACGTGCCTTGTAGAAAATAGTGGAATCAATGGAAAATTAATCACTACTTAGGAAGTTGAATGAAAGTATATACTATTTACCAACTTCCAAAATTAATGAAATAGTAAGACACCCTTGATGATGCTTAATAATGCAATGGGCTTTTGCCTTACACTCCCAAACCAGTGTCATCCCAAGCCAAGCATGCTACAACATAATCGAAAAACAATCAAACATTAATTTCATCTCAAGCTATCCAATGGAAACAAATCCAGCCGTTATAGCAAAACCAACAATACCAATCTATCCAATTAGCTTGGGGCCTATTAGATAGCGAACCAAAATCTATCATACATAGTGTACGCAACATGCCGTTGATCAGGTGACAGTTTTGATAATTCCTTATAAGCATAACCTCGAATGATCTTAATAAGAGTGACATACCACCTAATGCAAAGAAAATTATGCAAACATAAAGTGTAAACAGAACTAAAGGAAAAATTCAATACCTCCAAACCTTTCAGCTTCTTGATTGTAATCAAGCAGCTTCTACTCTATTTTCTTACTGTGAAATCAAACCCAAATGATGGAGATTCATGAGATATAAACTCTTCATTTAAGCTTGCTATTCTTCAACAGAATACCGAATATTGTTTTCCTTCTTCAATTCATCTATAGTAGAACCCTTGCTGCATGACCAACAAAATACTCTATGCCAAGTTCAAAGGGAAAAAAGCATCGACGATACTCAATGAACAAGAAGATCAATGTTCAGGTTCTTGCTTCAAATTTTTTGTTAGCTTAACCTTTTATTAGTGCATTTCTCATGTAAATATCTAAATCCTATAGCATTTGTATACTCCTTAAGAAAATGATGTATAGAATGGTTACAGTTAAAAACTTTGAAACCAAACTGTCAACGTTTAAAATTTTAATTGATCAACAATGAAAACAGTCCCTTGCTTTTGCCCTGTCAAGAACCAAAATTTCTTTCTTCGAAACATTTAATAAATTCATATTGTACTCAATGCCAGTGTCAAAATAAAAATGTGAGAAGCAACTTCACATTGTTCTACAATAGTGGAGAAAGACTAAAATTGATATAAATCTGAGATACTTAGAAATTATCGCACAATTGATTATTACCTTATTCAACTTCTCCTCAGCAAATTGAACTGTTCAATTCATGGATTGAGATGAGAAATATTCTTGGTGTCAACCAAAAAGAAAGCATTTGTTAGTTGAAAGGAAAATGAGGATCATAAATTAGTTTTAGCTCATTAGTATATTTCTGCAGCTGAAGTACATGATGTTATGGAAAAGAAAACCTTCATCTGCACGGGTTAACTTCTAATGTCACTATTTGGTTGTAAATAAAGATAGAATTTTCAAGTTTGAGCATGCTGTCAATCATGAATTACACTTCAAATAAATTGAGGTCTCAAATTCAATGGTGTCAAAAGCAATTTAAGATATATAAATATTATATACATTATTCGCAGCACCATTCTGAAATCAAATGAAATAAATATTAACCAATTCTTTTGCTATGTGATGATAATTTGTTACAAGTAGTAGACTTTGGAAAACTAAGAAATTGATATTATGGTAATTGTATATTTCAGTTAATGTGGCATATGTTGTTGTTTCTCTTCCAATTTATTTAAATATGCACCAATAAAGACACTGCAGCTAAATAATTCATGTCCCTATTGATTCAATCTAAGAAGCTCTTTCTGTATACAGAAATTATTGTCTTTTTAATTGAATTATCATTTATATAGTGAAACCCTTCGTAGTTGCTCTTTTCCCATTTTCTCTAATCTCGCGAAATAGCGTAGAGTACACCAATCACCATTAAAACTACAGCAATACATCAAATTCTAACTTGAAAACATATTTATTTAGTTCATTATAGATTTTCGTCTATAAGCATAAGATCATGAGCGTATTTGCGTAAATTAATTGGAAAATAAAATTATAAACTGCAAATGAAAACTACATAAAAAAAAAAAAAATTGATTAGTTATTTTTAAATTTTATAAATAATCATGAATTTCCTGCCTAGAAATCTAACAAGAGAATCAATTAATGTTACTGAAGAGAGCACACAACCAATTACTTGTATATACAAGCTAATTAAAGAAAAAAATACACAGAGACAATAAATCGAGAGCTTTACCTGATTAAAATAGCAATGGGTTTTATTTGTCTGCTGTTGAACCAAAAACAACACCCAAAAGAAGGTAACAGCTTCAACAACACAAACTCAACTGTAATTTGTAACAAAACAAAGAGAATATGACAATTTGTGGTAATTTGAATGATGCTACCGTTTTTTCTTTTTCTATTTTTCTGTGTCTTTGTTTATTCTTATACATATGGCTTCAATCTAAAAAACCATAATATCTCATACATTCAAAATTTTAAAATACTTTAATTCCCATGAGTATTACTACTATTGCACGTATTAATTAAATCAATAAAGACAGAAGCACCAGATTCTTGGTATAAAATATCAAATAAATTGATTATGTTACGGTACAACTGATGTTTAATGTACTTGCACACCCTCTAAATAATAAGACGAAAAATTCAAACAACATTCTTAGTTGCCAAAGTTGAATGAAGTTCATCACATCATCCAATATGAACATGCCATATGGTACAACATTAATTGGAAAACATATTGATGTACTTCACATGCTTACTTTGTTTCTAGGAAAATCAAGATTCGTTGATAGTGATTGAATGAGCACGCTTCTGTCCTGTAGTCAAAGAAATAACATTAATTTGTCTCATTCAAGGAATATGATAAACAAGGAAAAAAAAAAAGAGATCTTCACAATACTTTCCTTCCAATTTTAGAAGTTCTTGTTATATTAATAATAGATTATTGAGGAAAAAATAACTATGGAAATAGAAGGTAAATGGAACCAGACATAGTGAAGTCGTTTTAAGCTATTCACATCATAGAACAACTATCACTTGTCAAAGCAAGACAATCGATCACAAGAGGATAAAGAGTAATCTAGGTAATTTAGAATACTTATAACATCATAACATGCTTAAAGAATATCCGGCGTAATTTGATAATTAAGTCGATATAACTAATCAACAACAACAAGCTATTTCTCCAATGAGGGAAAAAGGTTCTTCTGAAGTCACAGTAACCACAAAATTCTTCAATTGAAATAAAGAAGTGAAAAACAAAAATTCTTCCTGAAGTTGTGAAATATGAAGAGGAAATACGAAGAAAAAACATAAGATAAATAAAAAATTGAAAAAAATTAAAGAACCTGTTGCTGAAAAGTGTGCCAAGTACAAAGCTGAAAATGCACAGAATCACAATCCATTTGAGTGAGACTTTGCCCCAGTTTTTGGTCTTCATTAAAATAAGCATATAACCACACACACAAAAAAATCCAAAAAAATAAAATAAAATAAGAAAACAAAGGAATTCAACCAGACACAAGTGTGCATAGAGAAATAAAACTCTAAAAATAGATACAATATTTATTTATCTATCAAGAACCAACAAAGAAGAATTCTACAAAGAGTTTATTACAGAGTCCCAAAAATCTTTAACCCAAAAAAAAAAAAAAAAACTGTAATATGCTCAAATAACCTAGAAGTTGTAGCACAAGGAAAAAGAAAAGAATAAATCAACTTACCACCCTCAAAACAAATCTCAAAATTTGTGTGTAAAACAGGTAGCCATCAATCCCAGTCAGAATACCAATGTTATCCCCTTCATCTTGGACCCGTCGATTCTACCTTCATCTTAACTCCAAACCACCTACATCTCATCTCTTTGCTGTTATTGTTTGGAAGTATCTTTGAAAGAAATGTTTATATGTAGAAAGCAGGGACAGGAAGCTTATTTGAGAAGCGTAATTGAGAAAACAGTAGGCCACTGAAATCTCACTCCTTCAGTCAACAATTGTGGCATGAGTAAAATATCTATATTACCCTTTTTTGTCCATACATGGAACAGTAAACTGACAGAGAAAATCATGAATGAATGGTAACTCTGAACCCTCTCTTTTTAGAGAGAGTAGATAATAAATTTTATGCTTTTTCATGGAGAACACAATACTTTTTTGAAATATTTTAGGCAGAGTTCGTGCTTATTCTTGAGCAATTTAATAATCTCATAATATAATTGACATAAAATTATGCTTATTCAGTGGCAACAATATATTATTATTTTAATAATTAAATTGTTTAAATTATTTGTTCTCTCAGGAGCAATAGTATATGTTTTTTTTTTATATATAATAAAATCGTGCCTTTTGGGATACTTAATATTTTACTAGAATATTAACATAACATAAAATCTTGATATGTATACATTTAGAGTTCTTTAAGAACAACAAAATATATTTCAAGAATATTAATAAGTATAACGTTGTGCTTAATCAAAAGCCCCAACATATTTATTATTTGTGATTTATTCAAAAAAATCAACGAAATTATATTTTTTGAGAATATTAAAACTTATAAAATTGTGCTCCTTAGAGCAATGACACCATTTAAATCAATTGAATATTCATGTGGAAACATTAATCACAATAAGGCTAAAAAGCTGACAGTTTGTAGTTAATTTCATCAACGATGACAATTACAAAAATGAATACAATTTCGTTTGATATAAATAGAATAAAAACGACTATTGATGTTCAAAAATTACATTCACGAGGATAAAAAATAGTGAGAAGGCCAAATGACGGATTTAAATATTAATAACATAGTTAACATGATAGATTTGATTCGACGTAAATAATTAGGAGAGGCGATAAAATGTCAACCTATGCTAAACTACCTTATGTCGGATTTAACTACAAATAGCTTTAATTATGTTAGATTTAACAACGAATAGATCTCGAAATTCAATTATATTTACTTTAGGAATACTCTAAATTAGAGGCAACCAAGTAGACTTTAAGGGATGTTTGACAAAAAATTTAGCAAATCGAGATAAAAAGTTAATAAAATGTGTGATTAAAAAGTTGTAAATTTTAATCAAGCAAACACTTGTTCATCAAACACAAATAAATGAAAATAAGGTAAACTTTTTGTTTACATTCGAAGTTTAGTACTTGCACAAAAGTCACAGGAGGTCATGAGTGCACAAATATATCTATCATAATATAAACCATATGATAATCCAAAAGCTCTATAAAATGTTATCAAAATGCTCGACAATCTTTTGGCGGAATTGTTCCCCCTGCTCATAAATTTGACAAACTCATTTGACAAATAATTGTAACATTTAATTTATGTCAATTCAATGCACAATATCTTATGAACCTCAAGTGATTATAATAAATTGTCACATGATTTTAGTGAAATAAATATTGAATGTTAGATTGACTTAAATTAAAGGTTACGGTCATATAAATATGTCAAATTTATGAATAGGAAGAATGGTCCGATCTTTCGAATATATAGATCATTTGAGTAATTACCCGCTAAAAACATGTCACAATCCTTTTAACTAGTTGATAATCAAAATGCACTATAAAGTAATGTTATCACATGCAACAATCCTTTAAACGCATTGCTATTTTCATTTATTATGTTACCATATTTTAACATGGTATTCTTTGCATCATCTTCTTTCTTACATTCACCCTTATCTCCTACATGCAACGTCCTTCTTTTTTGTCTGCTGTTGGCTCGTAAACCTTTAGGAGAGTTGCGAAATCTATCGAGCTTTTCTCAAGTAGCAAATGAGTGTACACAGAGAACCCATCAAGGAAAATGTGCATAACAAGAAAGAGACCGACAGTGAGAGGAAAAGGGAAATGACTCATTGGAAAGACCTAATACAGGGAAAGTGGTTGAGACAGGAAAATTAGGGCATGGGCAAAAAATGAAGATAATCGATGAGAAATAAGATTACAAGAAGGAAGCAACGGCAAAAGGAGGGTGGGGCATGGTGGGTTACGTGCCCCTCCAATTTTTTAGTTTTCTGATTTTAACTTTTATTTTTTTTAAAGTCACATAAACGATAAAAGAAGAGGTAAAATCAAATAAAATGCTCAAGGGACTCAAGAAATTGCACTAGGTGCATGAGCAAAGGAACAAGCAAGGTTATTGTTGTTTCTCTGGAGATCACATATGTGATGGTTGTTCAAAACCATGCGACCGCATGGCCTGGCAACTTCTAACTAACCATGCGACCGCAGGATTTACACCATGCGGTCGCATGGTATAAGTTCAGTGACTGTTGGAGTCGATTTGGGTGATTTTTTGGCAGCCTTTCACTTAATTTTGGTACCAATTCATGAAGCTATGTTGCATGATTATAAATAGGTGATTTTTTATCATCAAAATAGTATGAAAAACACTTATAAATTACATATTTATAAGATCAAACAAGAGAGAAGAGAGAAAAAATTAAACTAGCTTCTTCCATATTCCTTTTCCATTGTGTTCTTGAGTTCTTAGAGAATTAAACAAGTGCTTAGTGTTTGAATCTCTATAAAACTTGATCAATCATTTAAACCTTTTGCTGGATGACCCTTTAAGCACCATAATCTTTTCTAGTAGGAACAAAATTCGTTTGAGGATAAAGATCTCATATCGTGTTTGAGTCTTCCTACATTTGTCTTATATTCTTCATCTTCTAATTTTCTTTCACTCTACATTTGTAATTCGTTCTCTAACCCCTTGGTGGAGAAACTATTTCTATCAACATATGCAGTCTCTTGATCAATAGTCGATTGCTGTAATTTATAATTTTGAAGTTTTATTTTCTTAGACCAAAATTCAAAGTGATAGAGAAAAATGTGTTTGGATTATATTTATAATTTGTTTTCATTCTGTACGGTGTATATTCTGGAATTATTTTGATTTTATATATTGAATTGTGTCAAATTGATTTAAAATAGGGTTGAAATGATTTTTGAATTTAGTATATTGAATAGTTATGGAATGATTTTGTCCAATTTAGCTCACATTCATTGAATTGTATTTATTTGAATTGAGAATTAGCATTAAATATTAAAGGTATAATTTTCATTCCGATTACTTGGATTAATTGTTTGTATCAGTATCAATAAATTCACGTAAATTTGCATTTTCTTGTTTAAATTGATTGTTTGTATTAGTTATGAAATATTGTGTAAGTATGAAAATATATAGAAAACAGCTGTAATAAAATATCGAATGCTTTTTTTTTTTTGGCAGCTTTTTTGCAAGTTTGATTGTACATTCCAACACAAAATATTTGCTTTCGCCACTAGAAGGAAGTGAAAATGATTTGTTCAAAGTGCTAATTGTTATACTTTCGGTGCATGTGGATGACACGTGTAGGCCATGTGAATTTAAGAATGCCATGGACTGTAAGAATATGGTGTTATTACAATGTAAATGGAAGCCTAGCAAGGACACAACCTCTTTTGACTATAATTACATGCATTTAAAGTGTTTCAATTTTCAATGTAGTAAAATAATAAAATAATTTAGAGAAAAATTATTTAGCCCCCGTTTGTTTCTTATTTTTAAAAGAATAAGAATGAAAAATATAGTCGTTACGGGTCCTACACAAGAGATAAAAATTCAAATTCGGTGGCTTGATGTGATGGATAACGATCATATTTTTCATTTTAATGAGTAAAAAATGGGAACCAAACAGGGGCTTAAAATAAAAGATAGAGGAAAATAATAAATATTTTTTGGATTTGTAAAATTAAGTGTAAGTACAGAGAGCTTGTGAGAATACTTCAAAATTTTGACTCCCTAAATTTATAGATACTCTTCAAAGAGTAAAATTTATTCTTTAAAAATTGAGAATCTCTTGAAAACGTTCTTACATTGTTAATTTGAAGGGTCTCTTGAAAATACTCTAAAATATGTTAATTTAACAAAAAGAGACTTTCGACCGTTTGGCATAAATTTGAGAAGTCAAAATAAATTTTTGAGATTTAGAAGTTACTTTTCAACTTGTTTGGTTAATTTTATAAAAGTATTTATTTAGTTAAAAGAACTTTTAGGAGAATTTAACTCAACGTGATTTCACTAAATACTCTTTTGGAGAGAAATTCTTTTAAAAATTAGTTTTCAACACTGATTAAGGTAGCAAAAGTCATGCAGAATGGATCTTATTTTACTTATTTTATAGTATTTTTTAAGCACACTCAAACAAGCCCTTATTCAACTACCATGATCCGAGTAGCATTCTTAAGAGTATTTTCAAAAGACTCTCTATTTATAAAGAATATTTTATGCATAATAGATAATATCTTTAAATTTAAAGAGTAATTTTTTTTATACACTCCAATAAACTCTTTACTTTGATTTTTTATTTTGTTTTTTCTAATGAACATTTAATAATTTCTCCATATATTTTATTTAAATATAAATTTTTATATATCAATGACCAATCAATTCAAATATAATTTGAAAATATTAAATTATAGAGCATTATAATTTGTAATGTATTAAATACAATTAGAGTGTGTTTGATTGACATGTAAAATATCACCTAGAAAAGAAAATATTTTTCATTTTTTGTGGAAAATAAAAACCACATCTACCCAAAAAAAATATTTTCCTTAAAAACAAGGAAAATTAGGCATATTTTCAAAAGTTGGAAAATGTTTTCCATGGAAAAAAATAGCAATCAAACACTCCAAGTAAAAATTTGAATGGAAAACTGATAATTTTCATGGAAAATAAATGTAATCAAATACACCATATTGTAAATTAAGAATAGAGAGTAAGTTTGACTTTCTAAATTTGGAGAGCCAAGCTCTCTATTCTAAAATAGAGAGTTTCTTGGAGCCGTTTTTAAGTTATGACTCTAAAAAATAAGGAGTATATTGTGCTTAAGAGTTTTTGGCAATGCTCTAATGGTTTGTAATTAGTTTTGTAAAGGAGAAAAACGGAAGAAAAATCGAAAAGGAAAACTACTGTTGAAAGAGATTGCCACATAGCCACATTCATTTCGGTGACTAGACTTTCTACGGCCGGGCGCCTGTCTGTCTGACTCTATCTCTCTCTAACATTACGCCACTTCACAACAAAAATACATCTCCTTTCACTCCGCTCAACTCCTCATCTTAATCACCACACTTTCAGATTTCTCTCTAGGGTTCCAGATTCTAATAACTTCTTTCCTTTCTTTTACTTGATTCGAATATCGGATTCAGATCGCATTTTCTTTTTTCAACCTGAATATTTAATACTTATACGATTTTTTTCTTAATTTTTTTTTCTAATTATTGGATTATTTTGAAATAAAGTTACTCATATAATAATGGTGGCCGATCTGTGTTTCGAGATGTATCAAATGCTTTGAATGTAAGAGCCGATCAAAATTTTATTTCATTAATTGTTTTTATTTGATTTAATATGAGGTGTGTGAGAATGGAAAGAAATCAGATAAGTTCAATCGGCGTTATGCAAATGTTTGGTTGCTTTATTTTTTTTTTTTTTAATTTGTGATTAAATGACGGCAAAAAGATGAAGGTGCGAATCTAGCTCTTTGTGATTCCCATGTATAAGAAATTAATAAAGAGAAAAGTTTGAAATGATGTAAAATGGCTATTTCTTCAATGGATTAATAATCGTGGAAGACGTGAGTTTTTCTTACTATTATTATACTTCTTACCAAAAGCAAGGGCAAAAAGTTTTCAATTATGTAGGTGTAAAAGGAGGAGTTTGCCAGTGTATAGTTTTCTTAAATTGTGAATTAAAATATAGGAACTTTATCTGTAGGCCGTATTTGGTATGCTCAAACAGGAGAAAAATGAAGCTGATGATAATTGAAGATTAATGACATTTTTCACTTGGTCACGATGTTTGGTTATTCGTTGTAGTTCTTCTTAAATCGGCATTTAAGAATGATTGATCTTAGCTCATCATATGCATAGAGTGAGAGTTAACACGTTGATACTAATTTCTGCTTCATTTTTGTGAATTTCATTAGATTTTAAATTGAGATCAAGACAGCTGCTTTAGATGTTATGCAACAGATTTCTGAGGTTCGTGAGTCTTCAACCAGGGTATATCACTAGATACACTGAGTTAAGGCAGTTAAGCTATATCCAGAGAGGCTTGTATGCACCTCAGTGCTCAACTTATTTGTGGGATTGCAAGTCAAAAATAGCAAGAAAGATGATGGTGGATTCTGGTGCAACTGCTAAGGGAGGACCTGTTACTGATATTTTACCTGAGAAGGATGATGATGGAATATATGCTAGTGGAGGATGGAAGAGGTGATTAAATTTGCAGTAGTTTTGATCTGGTTATGTGTCTATGGTCGAAATTTGCAATTACATTATTAGTAGTGTTACTTACAAAAATCTTACATTATAGCATTCATTTTTATTTGTGGTGACTAAGGTTAGTTGACGTTATTTATGGATGGGATTGGTTGCAAGCTTTTGAGCGCCAGTCAATAGGTTTTCATTTTCAGTATGATCTATAAAAGAATCTGTTGGCATGAGTTCATTACACATGGATCATCTAATAATATATTTTTTCAGTTTCTTGATGAAATCTGGTTCTATTTCAATTTCTGTCCCTTAATTTCTTTCCTGGGAGGTCTGAGAGGATTTGTCTGAATAATTTTTATTAACAAACTGGAAAATACTTCTGGAATGCCCACATGGTGGTGGTTCGGAACAACATTAGTCATGAGCCTCTATGTATTATATTCTGGAAAAGGACGCATCGCTCGCTATTTATCTACACAGTATTGGGAGGAAGAGAACAAGGATGAAATACACTTGAGCAAACTGTACGTATGGACAAAATGAAGACGTAGAACCCACCTAAACAGTATAGAAAGATATGAAAAATAATAGTTATATACACATTTTCTGCTAAGGTTTTGAACGTGTTCCAAATAAATGCACTTGTAGCATTTATTATATCTTATTATTGCCTACAATCCTAGTATTGGTAAACTAGGGTTTGAGTTTGTGGTACTAGAGCTTGTGATGATGAAGCCCATTAAAGCTGCATGATCTGTGCCATATCTGGGTCTTGGGACAGTGCTGCTGATGTTCTTTACTAAACATTGAATTGCGAAAATGAACATCTTTTGGATATATAGTCACACAGGACTTGTCTGGGTATATTTTCTAAAATTAGATTTTATTTGAATTTCCAGGAAACTGGAACATTTAATTTCTCATATTTGTAATTATCATATCTTTTTTATGACTAGATGTTTCTTTTGAGTAATATCTTTTGTGAATTGCTGGAGGAAAGAGAAAGGGTTCAGACTATGTTATCAGGAAGTGAATATCATATCACATCCATCTTCTACCTCTCCTGCTGAATATGTATAACATACACAGTTTTAATACCATGTTAACTGGCTCATTATGTCATGCTATGCATAGTTGGAAGATATGGACATATTCTATGGTGTTTTTATTCTGCCGATTAGAAATATGTTTAATGTTATTGAAACTTTTCTCCCTTCTTTCCTGCTGATAGGAACATGTATATCATGTGCTTATATATCCTTGGAGGCACGCTTACTCTTGGATTCTTTCCTATTTGGCAGTGAAGATGGAAGATTGAGCTGTGGATATTCTAGTTTTAGAGGGAAGAGGGCTAGTATGGAGGATTTTTATGACATTAAGACTTCGAAGGTTGATGGACAAACAGTTTGTCTCTTTGGAATATTTGACGGTTAGATGTTCTCTAATTAGCTTTCACCTTGAAGCTTGAGTTGTGGATATTAAAAATGCATTACCTGCTAATGGTCAAATTCAAGTAATGACTGGCTGTCTAAAATATCTTCTTGTACAATTTACTGCATGCATGAAAGAAAGGTCATAGTTTTGACCTGGGTAAAACTTAAAGGTTCGAATAAATTACGTACTATTGCAAAGGAAAATCTGAGTACTTACTTATTTTCTAACATTGTAGACTCAAAAATCACGTCGAATAAATTTTCTGCTTCTAAATAGCTTGAAAATTTGATTTTCCTTCCCAATTGAATTGGACGTGAGTAATGATGTTTATATAAAGGTAGAAGTGGACACATGAAGTTGAACTTTATTAACCGTAGTCGATGAATACACTCTAGTCACATGGTTTACTTTATATGCATTTCAAATCTGAAACAATGACATGTCTCCATGCATTTTTTGCTAAGATTCACGCTCAATTTAATTCAAAAATACGTCATATATGCACTGACAATAGTCAATAATTCTTTGCTTGCATTACTCAAGATTTTTTTATAGAACACGACACTTTTCATGAACACACTTGCGTGGAAACACCACAACGAAATGATATTGCTGAGCGAAAATATCGCCTTATTTTAAACGTGGCTCGGTTCCTTAGTTTTCAAGCTTACCTTCCTTTTACCTTTTGGGGAGATTGCATTCTAACTACTACATAGCTCATCAATCTTACTTCGTCATCTTCTCTACAAAATATTTTCCCTTTTGAGCGCCTTCACCGAAATGCACCCACTATGATCCTTCACGTGTATTCGGTTGTCTTTGCTATGCTCATACCATTTTTTGCCACTGTGATTAGTTCAACCTCGAGCTCATCCTTGTGTTTTCTTAGGATATCCTTCCTTTCGTAGTGCATATCGGGTTTATAACTTAGAAAACAAGATCATCATGCCTAGGGACATCACTTTTCTCGAACGTTTTTTTCCGTTCTAACTATAACCCTAACCTCAAGCCTTGTCTTACCCCCTTCCCATCCTTGACCCTCCTATTCCATCATCAGGTCCCTCCCCTCCGAAACTCTTTCACACACCCTCTTCTACTAGTCCCCCCATACTATCCGCCGTCCTACTCTACTTGTTGACTATGTTTGTCGTACCTTAAGATCAACTTTATTCCTTACGCCTTCCAACGCCGCAGTCACATCTTTTAGTACGGCTCATCCCCTCTCTCATTTTGTTGCATATCATAATTTTTCCACTAATCACTTTGCTTTTCTATCTGCCTACTCACAATCCTTGACCTTACTCGTTACTCTGAAGTTGCCAAGCATTCCTATTGGTGTGATGCTAAGCAAGCTGAGATTCAGGTCCTTGAAACAAATCATACTTGGCTCCTTAGACTCCTTTCTCCTGATAAGAAACCCATTGGTTGTATGTGGGTCTTCAAAACTAAACTCATTGCAGATGGTTCCATTGTAAGGTACGAGGCTCGGTTAGTGGCTAAAGGTTATAATCCGGTTGAGGCCTTGATTATTATGACACTTTTGCTCCTGTAGCAAAACCTGTTATGGTTCATTGTGTATTGGCAATTGCAGCCCGTGTTGCTTGGACTCTCAAAAAATGGAGAAGTATCCGTGTCGCCACGACATGACATTGATATCGACGCAGGATATGGATTGGATCCTTCATTTTACACTCAAACACAACAGCAAAAGAGAGAAGATGGTAGCAGGTGTCTTGCTTCTCTGGCGGCAGAGAGAGAGAGTTGGGGAAGACGACGAGTTTTGGAGGGGTTAAACGGGCTCTTGAGAAGTCCAATAGATAGAGTTAATGAGAGTGTGTAAAATTGGGCTCTTGTGAGGTTCAGTGGATGTAGTTAATGAGTTAATTTTTGTATTTAATTTAATTCGAGTTTTTTATTTCTTATATTTTATCTTTGTGAACATTTTATGTTGTAATTAAAACGGTTTAATGATATATCTTTTCTAGGTATTAAATTTAAATTTATTTCTATAATTGTTTTTTAATAATAATAATAAGACATTGAAATTGATTTTTTCTTAATTTTTTGGAAAATAATTTATTTTAACTTTAAATTTAAATTGATTTCAAATTATGGCCCCGTTTGTTTCTCATTTTTGTAAAAATGAGAATGAAAAATATAGCCGTTATGAGCCCCACACAAGAGATAGAAATTCAAATTTGGTGCTTGATGTTATGGATAACGGTCATATTTTTCATTTTAATGAGGGAAGAATGGGAAACAAACGGGCGCTATAATCCAATTATTTAAATTGATTTTATCGAAGGAGTTGATGAACAAAATAAACTTCGATATCATTTTTTGACAACCAATATCAGTTAATTTGTTTACAAGTTAATTTAATATTGTGTTTATTTCATATTTGCTTTAATTAAAACATTTTTCTCTTTGTTATTTTTGCCACTGTTCTATCGTTTAAAAAAATTGTAAGAAGTATCTCCGTACCTGTGTCCAAAATTTGGATCCCTTATGGCCGTATTCTTGTATCTTAATTTTTATAATGAGGAGGATCTGACTCCTAGATATGTACTCGTATCCGATACTCGCACCAAAGTCCGAGCATCATGGATTGCAGCGGCCCCGTAATGGCATCTCCGTCAGCTTGATATCAACAATGCTTTCATGGAGATTTAGAGAAGGAGGTCTACATGATACTTATTCCTAGATATGGTCGAAAGAGGGAGACGTGTTTGTTGTCTGCTTAAATCTCTTTATGGTCCTAAACAAGCTTTCCATAATTGGTACTTCAAACTCTTTGTATTATTGTCGAATGATTTCACTTAATTTGTAGCTGATCACTCACTTTTTGCTCGGCCTATTGGCTCTTCTTTTACTGTTATCCTAGTCTATGTTGACAACATTTTGGTTGTAGGAAATGCTCTCTCTGCCATCACTATTCTCAAAACTTCCTTTGATTATAGGTTCAAAATCAAAGATTTAGGCACCATGAAGTACTTTCTTGGTCTTCAGATTGCCCGATCACCTCTTGGAATTTTTGTTAACCAAAGAAAATATACACTGAATATCCTTGCTGACTTGGCAATTTGGGTCACGACTAGTTACCTTTCCAATGGATCAGAATTTGAAATTTACTCTTGTTGATGACACTCTACTCTCTCATCTAGGTCCATAGCGACGATTAGTGGGTCGGCTCCTGTACCTTACTATTGTCCATAGCGATGATTAGTGGGTCAGCTCTTGTACCTTATTATTACTGTGGCCAAGCATCTCCTTCTTTGTTAATATGTTGAGCCAATTTATGCAAAACCCTTGGGATTCACGTCACCAAGCTGTCCTTCATGTTCTACGTTACCTAAAGGCTCTCTAAGGTATGGATTATTCTATTTTGCTCAGTGTAATCTCTAGCTTTCTGCATACTTAGATTCTGATTGGGCAAGTTGTCCTACTACTCATCGCTCCACGATTGGGTTTTTCATTACTATTTGCGCTAGTCCCATCTCATGGCGAGCGAAGAAATAGGCAGTTTTTTCTTATTCCTCTGTTGAAGCTCAATACCGTGCAATGGCTATGACCACATGCGAACTTATCTGGCTCAAATCTCTTCACGTGACCTTGTTGTTATCCATCCACAACGAATTTTATTCTACAGTGACAATGAGATTGCTCTCCATATTACACGTATCCCTATTTTTCATGAACGCACTAAACATATTGAAATTGATTACCATTTTGTGCGTTGGAAAAATTTTCCTGGGCTCATTTTATGCATGTCCCCTCCAAGTTCCGACTAGCAGACATTCTCACCAAGGCTCTTGGAAAGGATCTATTTCACAACTTCGCTTGCAGGTTGGGCATCATGAAGCTTCATGCTCCAACTTGAGGGGGGGAGTGTTAATTGTAATTAGGGATATTATTTCCTTTATCAAATATTTTGTATATATTCATACCTAGATTAGTTTCGTTTCCTCTTATAGCAAATCCTACATGTATTATAAATACCAATGTATAGTGAATCGTAAATCAATGAGAGTTACTTCATTCCAACAACAAAATGTAACAAACTTAGATTGTAGTTTTGGACACTTGTAACAATTTAGGACCTCGTACCTGGAAGTTGCCCGCGCGATGGACCAGGTAACATGAATATTACAAAACATTGTTCATCTTGTTTTATCTCATAAAACAGATATCACTGAAAAATAATCAAAATTAACTACTGAAGTGAAAGTTTTAATCTACATATGTTGGAGGATGAGATGGTCATTTTCAAGCTTAATGCTTCATCTAATGTCTTGCTTCCTCTATTAATATTGCCTGGCATGGACATTCGACTTAATTATGAATGGAAATTAAAGCATACCAAAAAATAAAATAAAAAATTCTGATAAGAACGATTTGTAATGACAGGTCATGGTGGTTCACGTGCAGCAGAGTATTTGAAGGAACATCTCTTTGAGAATCTCATGAAGCATCCAGAATTTATTACGAACACCAAATTGGCAATAAGTGAGTTGAAATGAATTTATTCTTATTTCTGTTTTTCAATTCTTACACACTAGTTCCTCTGGGACAGTCGTAGAATCATCTTCAGTCATCACGGCTCCCCATCCCCACTGGGGACTGCATTACAACTTCAATAAGGAGTAGTTTGGTTTTGCAGACAAGATAAAAAATTAAATCTGATTACTTTTGGGGCTACTTTGGGGATTGACTTCACGAGGGTGCCCTGATCCTGCCCCAGTTTCTCACAGAATAATTAACCCCTGTTTGTTGTCCGTTATTTCCAAAAAACAATGTTTTGAATAGTGATTTTTAGGAGAATGTGTGGTTGAAAAAAGGGAGAAGTTTTGGGTTAATGTGTAGAATATTTTATTGTGTGAATGTGTGGTCGAAAATGAGTATGTGGAAAAGAGAGTTTGAAAATAATAATTGTCAAACAAGGGCTTAATCTTTAATAGCGCAAACCAAGCTGCCTTGCTCTGGTGGGGACAGTATCGGGAGCTATATATTTACCTTGAGAAGGCTACAAAACGACCATCCTGCACTTGTAGTTGCCATACCTATTACGAACTTAGCCCTAGCTTATCTTTGCTTTCTATGCTGTGGAACAATTGTCCTGGCTTGCATGGTTTAAGCAATAAATGATCAACTGGCTTTCCATATTGGTCATACACAGGCTTTCGTTTTAATTAGTAATTAAACGCAATAACTTTTGTAAAACCACAGGTGAAACATATCAGCAGACTGACAGAGATTTTTTGGAGTCTGAAAAAGATACTTTCCGAGATGACGGTTCCACAGCTTCAACAGCAGTTCTTGTTGGTAATCACTTATATGTTGCTAACGTTGGAGATTCGCGGACTATAATATCAAAGGATGGCAAAGGTACTTTTCTCGTATTGTAATTTTGTTTTCCTTTTCCTTTTCTAGACAGTATAATTTCATATTGTATCTTGCCTTCCCAACCATTTACCACCCTGTAGATATTGTAAGAAAAGAAGCCTCCAACCATTCTTTGAGTGAAAATTATAATTCAAATTATTTTTAGCCACTATGGGATTGCAGGATTATGGGATCAACAGACTTTGTTTGGGAGACAATGTGTTTTATTATACTAATTTTAATTAGCAGATATGTACTGAAATCAATGATAACAATTCTTGTGTTGATGTCAGTTAGATCATAAAAATAAGATTTTTTGTCTGAAGATGTAATGACCGGTAAATTTTCCATCCAGATGCTAGACATCCCTGATCCTGTGGGAACTGCAATGGGTTTACAGAACATGGTCATTTTGTCTGTTCAATCAAGTTGTTTTCGTCCATATTCTATTTAAGCTGGCAAGGCTTGCGTTTGACATTGTTCACCTACGCTAACCTCTAGTAATTGGTCTTTCTGTTCCCGGCTACTATTGAAATATTTCAATAGTGTTAAAGGCTTTACATGATTTTTATTTTTTTTTTTTCAACGTAGTGTCTGTGTTCAGTTAAAATTATTTAAAACTGAGAACTTGATTCAGTACTTTCAGTATCAGTATTCTCTGATGAAGAACCCTAAACATTAATTAGGGGAATGTTTCTCTTAATTACATGTTTTCAAATCCAAGAACTAATGGATTGTATCTATCTGAGTCTGATTGGATAACAAACCAACTTCCTTTGTAAACATCGTCATCTTTTGAAAAATTTATACACTTAACTCATCATACAGATCTTGTATGTAATATCTTGCACTATATTCATTCTTTATCGGGTTGGTTCTTATATGTATGTTAATGTAGTAATTAATTGTGACAGTGTTCAATTGATAGTTATGACTATTTGAATTGCAAAAATTTGGAGGGCAGAAGCTTTTTTGATTTTAACATCTGAACTGCACTGCATTTTTTGTGCTTGGCAGCTATTCCACTTTCGGAGGATCACAAACCAAACAGAAGTGACGAGCGGAAGAGAATTGAAAATGCTGGAGGTGTTGTAATGTGGGCAGGTATGGCCCATCCTGTACATTAATTGTTGTGCTCATTAGATATCTTTGCAAATCTAGCAGCACTATTTCTGAGCTGACTTTACAGTAGATGCAAAGAGTTGGTATTATTGACGAAAAGGTGTTTGCTTATAAGTTAACTGTCAAATAAAATAAAAAAATGTATTTGCTCAAGCTTTCTTTGATTCACACATAATGCAGATGTGAATCTTTTTTTCTTGAGAAGAATAGGTTATTGGGTTGTTTGGAAAAAAGGTTAATAAAATTGTTTGAGAGGTTTAAGATATTGGACATTGACAGTGTTTGAGATATTGGGCACTGGTCATCCCAACTCTTCATTTTCCGAGTCAAGTAGATAATGAGCAAAGCGAAATAAAATCTTCATGAGGATGTTAATTTCTGTACTGCAAGAACTATTAACTCACATTTGGAAATTGTCTTGGATAATAATTGTGTGCTTCCAGGTAGCTGATTGACTTTCTACTTATTGCTTTTGTATCAGGCACTTGGAGGGTTGGAGGTGTCTTGGCCATGTCCCGTGCTTTTGGAAATCGCATGCTGAAGCAGTTTGTTGTGGCTGAACCAGAGATTCAGGTAGTCTTATTTATTACTATTTATGTATTTCCAGATGAATTTCCTCGGTTCTAGAGATGCCGAAGTCAAACTTCAAAGACTTGTATGGTGATGAAAATATTCAGTCAAGATTTCAATTTTTAGGGGTTTGTAAGCCTTTCTCCAAGGAAGGATTATTAATGAAGCTTGACCGGTAGATGCAAATTTTAAATGATATCAATTGATCAAATATCGCAGATGTAGTTTCCTTGATAACCAACTTTTCCCACCAATCCCCTCTTCTCCGAACCACCACCATGGGAAAGGGGGGAGGGGGGGAGGGGGTATGAATACAGTCAATTCTCTTGTAATTAATATGGTAGATTGAAAAGTTATACTTATCAATTATGAAATTTTTAATAGCCCTGATCATCAAAATCTTAATTTTCATATAATCTTGTCACACAAATTAATAATACTATTTCCTTCTTGGTGTATTTTGGTCCTTGTATACGATCATACATGTGATCTAATTTGTGTTTATCGTTGAGATACTTGTCTAGTCTTTGGTTTGCATATCTCTTCTGGTTCGCATAAAATCTTTTGTCCACTTTCTGTAGGCACATTGAAGTAATTTCTTATGACATAAAAATGAAGACCATGCATCTGGCCATGGTTTGTATATTTATTTAGACTAATAATATGAATCTCCTAAATAATTTCTGGCACTTTCTCTGCTTACGATAGTTGAAGACAAGGAGACCATTTCCCTATTATTGATGCTATATGCATGTTTTTGGAAAATTTTCATTGTATGGATTCCAAAATTTTAATTTGGACCTGGTTTATTAATTTAATTATTTGCTGTTATTATTTTTTGGGGGTATTAATTACAAGAGCATAGACTGTATTAGTATTTGTATTATTTTTTATTTTTAGGATGGCGGGAGCTCCTATTTTTATGTGAGGCTATGAGAAGTCTGTTATGTTGGTTGCACGTTCTCCTAGTAGATATTTATCAAATTATTTTACAGGATCAAGAGATTGATCAAGAGCTCGAACTGCTTGTGCTTGCAAGTGATGGACTTTGGGATGTTGTGCCCAATGAGGTAATCAGTATCATAAATGACCATTATTATTCCTTTCATCATATATCAGTCCTTTTTTTCTTGGTGCTGTTGGAACTGAACAATATAGTCAATGAGATTAATAATTTAAATTGTATAGTTACTTTATTCATTTCTGAAAAGGACAAAAACATATATTCTGGTATTAATAGTCATTGGTATAGTAGCTGATGCAAGTTTCCACATATTTATCAGGATGCTATCTCACTTGCACAAATAGAAGATGAACCCAAAGCAGCAGCACGGAAGTTGACAGAAACGGCTTTCACCCGTGGCAGTGCAGACAATATTACTTGTATTGTTGTAAGGTTTCATCATGAGACAACAGTACCTGAGGAAACCCATCAATCTTTTGAAGCAAACTATGAGGAAACCCAGCAAACTTCCAAATCAAACACGAAGGAAACCCTCCATACTTCGGAAAGTCAGCAAACTTTCAAAGCAAGCACAGGGGAAACCACAAAAATTCACGAGCCGAATCCTACCCTCCACACCTCCAAAGCAAACTCTGAGGAAACCCAGCAAACTTTCGAAGCAAACACTAAGGAAACCCAGCAAACCTCTGAAGAGAACTCTGGGGAAACCTCAAAAAATCAAGTGTCAAATCCCGATGAATCCCAACAAAGTTGATGAATGTGTTGCCATTGTATTTGCAGTTTATGTAGGTGCCATTATGCTGATGATCACATTGAAGGGATGATGTTTGTTCATTCATTTGATTGTTTCTTTGTAATTTGTCTTGTACGGTTAAATTTCAGTGCATCATACTGATAAAGACATCGTCTGGGTAAATTTTATGGGTGGTCTAATATAATGAGAAATGACTATCCTGCTCTTTTCAATTTCCCTTATTTTCATGGCTTGGCAGAAATTTTTCTTGCTTTACTATTCCACCTGCCAACGCCCTTCCTTTTCCCCTGTAACATAGGTGGCAAACGGGGTCGAGCCTTGTTTGCCTTGACAGCACAGCAGAATGGTGGTGTGAACGAAAACATCGGATTGCAATGATATGGAAATGTTTGGTATACAAAGTTGTTATTAAACTAGAAATTAAAGAAACAATCATAGTGAAACCAACCGCTTTTAAATTTACGATCAACAGTTGGTGTCATTGGCGATTGTTGTAATCTAAGCATTGTCAGGGTTAACAATCTATGCATAGTCAATGATCACTGATAATGTTTTTATCGATAATCTGATAGAGAGTGCATAATGATAGTAGATTGTATTGTTGTCAATAATTCTATTTGAATCATTGACAACTATTTCTATTAAAATCATTGACAATAAAATCATCTACGGACATCTATAGAATTTTTTATCGGTGGTCTTTGCTTCTTTTAATCATTTTCATAATTATTATGGAAAAAACTTCTAAGCACTAGAGCCACCTTTACTCCCATACAAGATTATAACAATGCTAAATGACCTTTGATCAAATTCCACGTAGGATAAGTATAGAATGGATTAATCACATTCATTTATGCAAATAAAATTGGCTTGGGGAAGATGGGCTCTTGGTCTGAATTACCAAAAGAAAGGGGACTTGACAAAAAGGAGTGTGTTATTCTCGTCCAAATGACAATCTTATCACATAGACTAAGTTAATAAATAGAATGTGTTATAAGCTCTTCGACTAACACTTTTTTTTCCATATCAATATTCACCCAATCTCTATCCAATTACATCTCTTATGTAAATCTAATTGTACAATGATTTAAGTAATAAAGCGTCTTAAAATAAAAACCTTTATGTCATCTTTGTTATTATACTGAGACATTCTCAAAATTATCTTTCAGGATAATGTATGACTAACCATTTTTATCAGCATATTATCTATCAAAAAAATTCTAGTGATGCAAATGACACAGTAATTTTAATACTTATGTTTCTGTTGAATTAGATGCACATTGCTTTCGAAAGATTGCTTGTTTCGATTCTCGGACAAGCATGGAGGACGATATTCATTGTTAGTCGAGTACTCATTGATGCTAAAAATGTTGACTGTTTGCTATTTTTTTAATATTTAACGTAAAAATCAAAGATTCAAAAATACTTTATCACGAATGGGGTGTGTGTGTGTGTGTGTATGCATAGGTGTATATATGTATAAGATACATGAAAAGTAACCATAGTTGAGTTCAAATGGTGAATCAACCATAGTTAGAACCCTAGTTAGGGTTAACCCCAAAAGTAGTTGTAAATAAAAGCAAGCCCATGCCCATCTGTCTTTTACAATTATAGAAAAATTTTGGGCATTTTCAGATTTTCTTCGGGGGGTTTTGACCAAATTTTTCTAGCTCTCCACAGAAATTCTCCCCATTTCAATTTGGTGGGAAAAAAGAAAAACCACAAATTCAACTCCAGGCCTTCAGATTTTTATTTTAATCGGTAATGATTTCTTTTATTCTTTACATTTTTTCTGAATTTTTAGGTTAATTAGGAATTTGGTACTGAATCTAGGGTTTCAATCTGGAGTGCTGAATATGAAGGTTCGGAAATGGAAGTTAATTTTTTTTTTTTTTTTTTTTTTTTTTTATGGGCTTCGGATCTATTGCAATCTCAAATTTTGAATTTTGAGTGTGATTTGGGATTTGTGAATTTTAAATATTTTTTGGTAATTTTTGCTAGCTGTTGTTTTTTGGGATTTACTTTACCATTAGAGCTGTTATATTGAGTTCATGACATCGTGCGTAGAGATTATCAGAATTTAAATCAGACAATGTGTTTCTCCAACTCAATTACCGTTGAGTCGATTTGCTGCGTTCTCTGCAATTTGCTTAAGTGCCATTGGACTGAATTGTCTTTATATTTCCTTCTCGTTGATATCGAATTGAGAAGGAACTTGCAATTCGAACTTGGATTAGAGTTTTATGCTTGTCTGAAAGAACATGTGCGTGATGACCCCAATAGCCAATCTTTTCTCATTTTTTATGTACTGCTCCAACCTCCGTGGTAGACATATATAACTTAATCCAGTTCTTGTAAATGATGGTGCATTAACATACACCTGTGCATTTTACTTGTAACCTTCACTTTATCAAAATTTGGCTTAACTTTTGTCAAATTGTCATACTCACTTCAGTTTATCTTTTCCTTTGAATCGGGTATTTGATATTTTGATGGATCTTTATTGTTGAGAGGTCCTTAGGGTTTAAGTTCAGGTATTTGTTCTTATGTTCTTGCTGGTTTTTGGGTGTGTGTACAGTTAACATGCCATATTAAGACTGTACCAAAAACGGGTGAACAGTTGGGAACCAAGTCATTTTAAAAATATGGAGTGCAATAGAGATGAGGCCCTCCGTGCAAAGACAATTGCTGTGGGCAAGTTAGAGAAGAAGGATTTTGCTGGCTCTAAAAAAATTGCCTTGAAAGCCCAAACATTGTATCCAGGACTTGAGGGTATCTCACAAATGTTGACAACACTTGATGTGTATATTGCTGCAGAGAATAAAATAAGTGGGGAAGTAGACTGGTATGGAGTGCTCGGTGTCAACCCTTCAGCTGATGATGAAACAATAAGGAAACAATACAGGAAGTTGGCTCTCACTCTTCACCCAGATAAAAATAAATCTGTTGGTGCTGATGGTGCTTTTAAACTTCTTTCAGAGGCCTGGAGCTTGTTATCTGATAAGGCTAAGAGGTTGGCATATAACCAAAGGAGGGGTTCTAGAGGATACCACCAGAAAGTTCAAATGCACGCTGGTGGACCATCAGCAGCATCCAGGGCAAACGGATTTCATAATATTGGAAGTAGGTCAACATCTATTACAAAGACCCAAAACAATAGTTCAAGGGTATCACCTACATCAGTTCCTACTCCGTCGTATCAAAGAACTGATACTTTCTGGACTATTTGTCACAGATGCAAGATGCATTACGAGTATCTTAAGATATATCTCAATCACACTCTTCTGTGTCCCAATTGTCACGAGGCCTTCATGGCTTCAGAGACAGCTCCACCATTCAACTTTTCTAAATCATCAAATCCTGCTTCTCGCCAGCGGAATCAGAATTTGAATAATCATGCAACTGCTAGAAATCATGTTGACACGGGAAGCAATGCTGCAGCTGGTCAAAAATCAGGACCTGGACAAGCAGGTCCTAATGTGTATGGGCATAGAAGCTACCAGCAGGCTCCTCATTTTGGCCATACAGATCCTTCTATATCGACAAAAGCAGCAAATTCTGTTCAGCAGGCACAGGCATTTCCTGAACCACCTGCTAGGTGGGAAGGAGAAACAAAAAAGCGAAAAATAGATGACTATTTTGGTGCAAAAACTACATATAACGTGGCCATGGCAAATGGAGGTTTTGCTAGTGCAGGTGCATCAGGATCAAGGATCTATGGTTTCTCTGGCACTAATAGTAAACCCAACAGCACCAGAGACCTGACCCCACTAGAAATGCGAAATGTGCTAATGGAGAAGTCTCGAAAAGAGATTCTGAAGAAGTTGAACGAATGGAGATTGGTGACGGCAACAAAGGCTACAGATAAAGTGAAAGAGAAGGCAAAAGAGGGCAAGAGAAACAAACACCGAAGCACCAGTGGGCATGATCAGAATGGCAATGGTGGGCTGTCTATTCGCATGGTAGCAGATCGAGCTAACAAGTGTCTTGTTAGCCATTCTGCTGACACTGCAGGTAAAGAGGATAATGTGGCAGCACCCATGAATGTTCCAGATCCCGATTTTCATGATTTTGATCAGGACAGAGCTGAAAGTTCATTTGGAGATAATGAGGTTTGGGCTGGTTATGATGATGATGATGGTATGCCGCGTTTCTATGCTCTGATTAGTAAGGTAATCTCAAGGAACCCATTTAAGGTCAAGATCAGCTGGCTTAACTCAAAAACCAGTAGCGAATTTGGATCTCTGGATTGGGTAGGTTCAGGTTTCTACAAAACGTGTGGTGAATTTAGAGTTGGCAGATATGAAATCTGCAAATCTATCAATTCTTTCTCCCAAAAGGTTAATTGGTCAAAAGGCCCACGGGGGACTATTCTAATATTGCCTACAAAGGGTGATGTTTGGGCACTCTACAGGAATTGGTCGCCTGATTGGAATGAGCAGACCCCGGATGAAGCCATACACAAATATGACATGGTGATGGTACTTGATGACTACAGTGAGGAACAGGGTGTATCTGTCGCTCCTCTTGTTAAGGTAGTTGGTTTCAAGACAGTATTTCGTCCAAATTTGGACCCCCAAAAGGTCAAGAGAATACCAAAAGAAGAGATGTTCCGATTTTCTCATAGGGTCCCGAACCACGTGCTTAGGGGTGATGAAGCTGAAAATGCTCCAAAAGGTTGCATAGAGCTGGACCCTGCAGCTACCCCATTGGAACTTCTTCTGGTGATTATGGAAACTAATGAGGTGCCAACGATGTCCCATGGTGAGAGTTCTAAGGAAGAGAAATTGCAGAGCTCTCCAGATACTAGGTTAGACGACATTGCTAATGTGACCACAGAGGCTCAGGAAGTAGACAGAAAACAGTCTGGAGACCGAGAAACTGGGGGAAATGGGCTTTGAAGGGTAGCCAGGGAAGCAGCGCTTTTTTGTACGATGCTGGTATTTTTTTAACAAATGTTCAGAGTGCTGGATAGACACCCAGTATATAGACCTTTTCAATTGCACAAGCCCCGAGTATAATTGAAGGAGAATAGCGTTTTGTTGTGGAATCGGAATTGGGTGCATACTTTTGTTCTTCGTTTTGAACTCGATAAATGTGGAGACTCTGAACACTTAAAAGGTAGATCAAGTCTAACCCCAGTTTTGACAGTTAAATTGAGTAAAATTATGAAGATGAAGAACTTCATTCTTCTTTACTGTCTAGGTAAAAGTGAATGCTTTCTGCCTATTGAACATCATGTATAAGACAGGAAGTGTATTCTTTGTCGTGTTACTTGATTCTAATGTTAAAAACATGGAATTCATTTTTGTCTTGAAAGACTAAAAACATTTGTAAGTCGAAAAGGTTCATTTATATTTTGCTGCGTCTTGGAATTGACATGCGCAAGTATTTATTTTTCTTTTGTTGTGATATACATATTTCTACCCTCGGAGATGCAAGTGGTGATCCGATGCACGGTTTTTTGTTTTGTTTCTTTGTTAAAATTAGCATAATTTTTCTTAGATGCAATGCGCCTCTTACATCAAAGCTAGATGGTGAGCTTATACAATGTGCACGGTGAGCCTTCTGGAATTATGAAAAGAGTCAACGAGACTAGGTATCTTATTCAGTATCCACTTGGATGGGACCACGTTGAACCATCTCAACTGAAAGTTTAAACTATTAGAATGAGACTTCATTTTTCTAAATTTATAGTTTGACACATCACAAGATCTGTGATGAGCAGCAAATTTTTATATACAACAAACTTATTGCTCGACCATACGGCAAAAATCACATATGATCAAGCTGGTGCATCTACAGGTGAAGACAATATTTTAACGGTGGTGCTAGTGGTACATAGGGGTGGACCTCCCGAATAAAATTTTTTTTATTCGGGTGAATTTCACACCCCATGTGAGAGAGGTGTACACGCTTTGGTACACTTCATTATGTACCACTAGATTAATTCATATTTTAAACACATAAACAGGATCTCCCACTTTAATGCTCTTCCTCTTCCCTTGAGTTAGGAATCAGTTCAGTACAAACCATGTTTTTTCCCAAAATATACCTGCAAAATTAAGTGCTTAAGTTTACACAATTAAGTAGATTTATATAAAAGTCGTCAAAAATGCCAGCTTTCTAGAGCTAAACTGATCTTCCCCTGCTGTTTCTTGTTTGGACGCAGAAGTGCGGAACTCTATCAGAACGGAAGTTCATAAGAGTCTCGGTAGGCTCAGAGCCTGCCACCGCGGTTTCTTGATTTATTATGGGTACCTAAGAATTATGAAAAATTTCAAGAACACGAAGAACGTTCCGGCATTTCAAAGAAAAAGATCAAGTTTTTGAATGCAGGAACTTAGAAACTCAATTTTCCAGTGCAGGAATTCATGGTTTATAGATTCCTTAGTAACAGAAAATCAGAATTTTGGCAAAATAATTTTAATCAGTCTGAAGCATTTGTATAAATACAGTTACTCTAAATGAAATTTTAATATGCAACGAACATATTCTCGAAGAATGATGACATGTTGATGATTTCGATATTTGACTAGTTCACCGCCTACTATATAATGAACAACTAAATTGACGGCTACTCAATACATCTAGAGCATGCTTAGTATCTAGTATTCGACAAGATTGAAAAGTAAAAAAAAAACATACACGAGTAAATGAATACCAGAATATCATGGAATTGTGAATCCTCCAAAAGAAAAACAGCATTGGCGCGCAACCTCTGAAAATGTTGCGAGGATATAAATGTTTGGAAAATTATTGGTGTACATTATGGACATTATAATGGTGTCTAAATGTTTACCTTAAAACGAGAGCATAGTTAGTTAAATTATTGATCTTGATCTCTGTTCATAAATCCTCGGAAAAGGGTTCGCATCTATTAACCTAACATTCGGGTCTTACCAGTAATCATGTCAACATATAATGGAAGAAATTCTGAAGTCTGCTTTGCAATAATATTATGAGACGATTTTCAGGGAGTTTAATTTCTTCTCTTTTCTATTTCTTCGTTTCATAAGAGTTCTTATTTGGTTCCCAATCGTCGAAAAATGCCTCATATGGCAGTTCAACTCGATTTACAGATTTTTTGTGCATATACGAGTGAAACGGGTCGAAGTCGATCACGTTTTAGTCGTCGGATCCGTGCATGCACAAAAATACAAGGGTCACTTTGAATCTAATAGTTTCTAAATTTTTTGAAAGCGATGAACAACGAAATTTGTTTGGACAACCCTTGTCTCGACTTAAATTTACCTCTATAAGTAGAGAATCTCAAATTTTTAGTAATAAAAGATCCAACTAGTAGTACTAATAATAACATTCATTTTGATGTACGAACAATTGGATTGGTCAAAATTAATAACCACTCGAATTAAAATTGACCACTTTTCAGGACAAATGAACTTCAAATTGGGTAAAATGGACCTTATTTAATTGACTCCAATTTTAAAGATGAATACTGCTATTTAGGTCAAATGAATTTCAAGATAGATCAAATAGAACTTGATGGAGTTTAATTGACTCTGATATAAAAGATGAATATATTAAATTAAAAATATATAAAAAGAGAAATCGATAATATGTATGTTATGCTATTATAATAATGTTAAGTTAGGCTCCTTTTTATTTTCTTTCTCGCCTCTGTTGGAAAATTTTCCAAGAGTATGCACCTCGATCAGCTAGAATTAAGAGAGAAGAAAATCATATATAACTTCTCGAGTGCAATGGCAATTTTATTCATGAACAATAATGAAGAACATCGCCTTCAAGTACTGGGTGAGCATCGCTCGACATAATTATTGCTTTTTTTTATTATTAAAAAATCGATAACCTTCCTCACTTATGAAAAGTAATTAAAAAGTGTTTTTTTTTTTTAAATTATAAGTTTTTTGAATCCTAACATTAAGTAACAAAATCATGTTAACTTTTCCAGCACAGTTCCTTTATAGTACAAGAGTGATTAATAAAATTTCAATTTTACCACTTCTCACTTGAGCTAGACTTGATTTCATTTACCAATAATTTTGACCATGCCAAGTAACAACTTTATCATAAAATAAAAGTGGGAAAATTTTTCCACCAGCTATATATATCGCATAAAGGCATTTCGTTCTATAGCTTGTATTTGTGTCATTTATTTCGGATTGGCGTGAAGAGAGATTCTTTGCATGGCATTAACATGGCTTGGTTCATTTATCAAGAGTCATGTCATCCAAAACATATCAAAATATTGACTAGCAAATGTGTTATCCAACGTTCACTACCAAACATGACAGTTTACAATCAAATACTATACCTAATAATCCAAAAGTTTATTGGAAAAGCCTCAGTAAAAGCGTCTGATACTATCCAATCTTCTCTACCAAATACGACAGTAACGTAGTTGAAGACCATAATTATGCTCTATTTGCCACTCTTTTTAGCACGCTTTCCTTGGCCCTTCTTTGGTGGCCCCCTGCCACGACGTTTCAACATTTCCAGCTTGTTTAAGCGCCTGTCCACAATCTACTAAATGAGGTTCGAAGAATAATTCAGACATGAAAACTCAACTTCAACCTAGTCAAAAGAGAGAGGAAAATTAAACAGAATCAAAACTTCAGTTTCACAGTCACTCTACACCCACCAATCCCCTCTTCTCCGAACCACCACCATGGGAAAGGGGGGAGGGGGGGAGGGGGTATGAATACAGTCAATTCTCTTGTAATTAATATGGTAGATTGAAAAGTTATACTTATCAATTATGAAATTTTTAATAGCCCTGATCATCAAAATCTTAATTTTCATATAATCTTGTCACACAAATTAATAATACTATTTCCTTCTTGGTGTATTTTGGTCCTTGTATACGATCATACATGTGATCTAATTTGTGTTTATCGTTGAGACACTTGTCTAGTCTTTGGTTTGCATATCTCTTCTGGTTCGCATAAAATCTTTTGTCCACTTTCTGTAGGCACATTGAAGTAATTTCTTATGACATAAAAATGAAGACCATGCATCTGGCCATGGTTTGTATATTTATTTAGACTAATAATATGAATCTCCTAAATAATTTCTGGCACTTTCTCTGCTTACGATAGTTGAAGACAAGGAGACCATTTCCCTATTATTGATGCTATATGCATGTTTTTGGAAAATTTTCATTGTATGGATTCCAAAATTTTAATTTGGACCTGGTTTATTAATTTAATTATTTGCTGTTATTATTTTTTGGGGGTATTAATTACAAGAGCATAGACTGTATTAGTATTTGTATTATTTTTTATTTTTAGGATGGCGGGAGCTCCTATTTTTATGTGAGGCTATGAGAAGTCTGTTATGTTGGTTGCACGTTCTCCTAGTAGATATTTATCAAATTATTTTACAGGATCAAGAGATTGATCAAGAGCTCGAACTGCTTGTGCTTGCAAGTGATGGACTTTGGGATGTTGTGCCCAATGAGGTAATCAGTATCATAAATGACCATTATTATTCCTTTCATCATATATCAGTCCTTTTTTTCTTGGTGCTGTTGGAACTGAACAATATAGTCAATGAGATTAATAATTTAAATTGTATAGTTACTTTATTCATTTCTGAAAAGGACAAAAACATATATTCTGGTATTAATAGTCATTGGTATAGTAGCTGATGCAAGTTTCCACATATTTATCAGGATGCTATCTCACTTGCACAAATAGAAGATGAACCCAAAGCAGCAGCACGGAAGTTGACAGAAACGGCTTTCACCCGTGGCAGTGCAGACAATATTACTTGTATTGTTGTAAGGTTTCATCATGAGACAACAGTACCTGAGGAAACCCATCAATCTTTTGAAGCAAACTATGAGGAAACCCAGCAAACTTCCAAATCAAACACGAAGGAAACCCTCCATACTTCGGAAAGTCAGCAAACTTTCAAAGCAAGCACAGGGGAAACCACAAAAATTCACGAGCCGAATCCTACCCTCCACACCTCCAAAGCAAACTCTGAGGAAACCCAGCAAACTTTCGAAGCAAACACTAAGGAAACCCAGCAAACCTCTGAAGAGAACTCTGGGGAAACCTCAAAAAATCAAGTGTCAAATCCCGATGAATCCCAACAAAGTTGATGAATGTGTTGCCATTGTATTTGCAGTTTATGTAGGTGCCATTATGCTGATGATCACATTGAAGGGATGATGTTTGTTCATTCATTTGATTGTTTCTTTGTAATTTGTCTTGTACGGTTAAATTTCAGTGCATCATACTGATAAAGACATCGTCTGGGTAAATTTTATGGGTGGTCTAATATAATGAGAAATGACTATCCTGCTCTTTTCAATTTCCCTTATTTTCATGGCTTGGCAGAAATTTTTCTTGCTTTACTATTCCACCTGCCAACGCCCTTCCTTTTCCCCTGTAACATAGGTGGCAAACGGGGTCGAGCCTTGTTTGCCTTGACAGCACAGCAGAATGGTGGTGTGAACGAAAACATCGGATTGCAATGATATGGAAATGTTTGGTATACAAAGTTGTTATTAAACTAGAAATTAAAGAAACAATCATAGTGAAACCAACCGCTTTTAAATTTACGATCAACAGTTGGTGTCATTGGCGATTGTTGTAATCTAAGCATTGTCAGGGTTAACAATCTATGCATAGTCAATGATCACTAATAATGTTTTTATCGATAATCTGATAGAGAGTGCATAATGATAGTAGATTGTATTGTTGTCAATAATTCTATTTGAATCATTGACAACTATTTCTATTAAAATCATTGACAATAAAATCATCTACGGACATCTATAGAATTTTTTATCGGTGGTCTTTGCTTCTTTTAATCATTTTCATAATTATTATGGAAAAAACTTCTAAGCACTAGAGCCACCTTTACTCCCATACAAGATTATAACAATGCTAAATGACCTTTGATCAAATTCCACGTAGGATAAGTATAGAATGGATTAATCACATTCATTTATGCAAATAAAATTGGCTTGGGGAAGATGGGCTCTTGGTCTGAATTACCAAAAGAAAGGGGACTTGACAAAAAGGAGTGTGTTATTCTCGTCCAAATGACAATCTTATCACATAGACTAAGTTAATAAATAGAATGTGTTATAAGCTCTTCGACTAACACTTTTTTTTCCATATCAATATTCACCCAATCTCTATCCAATTACATCTCTTATGTAAATCTAATTGTACAATGATTTAAGTAATAAAGCGTCTTAAAATAAAAACCTTTATGTCATCTTTGTTATTATACTGAGACATTCTCAAAATTATCTTTCAGGATAATGTATGACTAACCATTTTTATCAGCATATTATCTATCAAAAAAATTCTAGTGATGCAAATGACACAGTAATTTTAATACTTATGTTTCTGTTGAATTAGATGCACATTGCTTTCGAAAGATTGCTTGTTTCGATTCTCGGACAAGCATGGAGGACGATATTCATTGTTAGTCGAGTACTCATTGATGCTAAAAATGTTGACTGTTTGCTATTTTTTTAATATTTAACGTAAAAATCAAAGATTCAAAAATACTTTATCACGAATGGGGTGTGTGTGTGTGTGTGTATGCATAGGTGTATATATGTATAAGATACATGAAAAGTAACCATAGTTGAGTTCAAATGGTGAATCAACCATAGTTAGAACCCTAGTTAGGGTTAACCCCAAAAGTAGTTGTAAATAAAAGCAAGCCCATGCCCATCTGTCTTTTACAATTATAGAAAAATTTTGGGCATTTTCAGATTTTCTTCGGGGGGTTTTGACCAAATTTTTCTAGCTCTCCACAGAAATTCTCCCCATTTCAATTTGGTGGGAAAAAAGAAAAACCACAAATTCAACTCCAGGCCTTCAGATTTTTATTTTAATCGGTAATGATTTCTTTTATTCTTTACATTTTTTCTGAATTTTTAGGTTAATTAGGAATTTGGTACTGAATCTAGGGTTTCAATCTGGAGTGCTGAAGTGAAAGAAGGAATTTGAAAAAGGAATTTTTTTTTTTTTTTTTTTTTTTTTTTTTTTTTTTTTTTTTATGGGCTTCGGATCTATTGCAATCTCAAATTTTGAATTTTGAGTGTGATTTGGGATTTGTGAATTTTAAATATTTTTTGGTAATTTTTGCTAGCTGTTGTTTTTTGGGATTTACTTTACCATTAGAGCTGTTATATTGAGTTCATGACATCGTGCGTAGAGATTATCAGAATTTAAATCAGACAATGTGTTTCTCCAACTCAATTACCGTTGAGTCGATTTGCTGCGTTCTCTGCAATTTGCTTAAGTGCCATTGGACTGAATTGTCTTTATATTTCCTTCTCGTTGATATCGAATTGAGAAGGAACTTGCAATTCGAACTTGGATTAGAGTTTTATGCTTGTCTGAAAGAACATGTGCGTGATGACCCCAATAGCCAATCTTTTCTCATTTTTTATGTACTGCTCCAACCTCCGTGGTAGACATATATAACTTAATCCAGTTCTTGTAAATGATGGTGCATTAACATACACCTGTGCATTTTACTTGTAACCTTCACTTTATCAAAATTTGGCTTAACTTTTGTCAAATTGTCATACTCACTTCAGTTTATCTTTTCCTTTGAATCGGGTATTTGATATTTTGATGGATCTTTATTGTTGAGAGGTCCTTAGGGTTTAAGTTCAGGTATTTGTTCTTATGTTCTTGCTGGTTTTTGGGTGTGTGTACAGTTAACATGCCATATTAAGACTGTACCAAAAACGGGTGAACAGTTGGGAACCAAGTCATTTTAAAAATATGGAGTGCAATAGAGATGAGGCCCTCCGTGCAAAGACAATTGCTGTGGGCAAGTTAGAGAAGAAGGATTTTGCTGGCTCTAAAAAAATTGCCTTGAAAGCCCAAACATTGTATCCAGGACTTGAGGGTATCTCACAAATGTTGACAACACTTGATGTGTATATTGCTGCAGAGAATAAAATAAGTGGGGAAGTAGACTGGTATGGAGTGCTCGGTGTCAACCCTTCAGCTGATGATGAAACAATAAGGAAACAATACAGGAAGTTGGCTCTCACTCTTCACCCAGATAAAAATAAATCTGTTGGTGCTGATGGTGCTTTTAAACTTCTTTCAGAGGCCTGGAGCTTGTTATCTGATAAGGCTAAGAGGTTGGCATATAACCAAAGGAGGGGTTCTAGAGGATACCACCAGAAAGTTCAAATGCACGCTGGTGGACCATCAGCAGCATCCAGGGCAAACGGATTTCATAATATTGGAAGTAGGTCAACATCTATTACAAAGACCCAAAACAATAGTTCAAGGGTATCACCTACATCAGTTCCTACTCCGTCGTATCAAAGAACTGATACTTTCTGGACTATTTGTCACAGATGCAAGATGCATTACGAGTATCTTAAGATATATCTCAATCACACTCTTCTGTGTCCCAATTGTCACGAGGCCTTCATGGCTTCAGAGACAGCTCCACCATTCAACTTTTCTAAATCATCAAATCCTGCTTCTCGCCAGCGGAATCAGAATTTGAATAATCATGCAACTGCTAGAAATCATGTTGACACGGGAAGCAATGCTGCAGCTGGTCAAAAATCAGGACCTGGACAAGCAGGTCCTAATGTGTATGGGCATAGAAGCTACCAGCAGGCTCCTCATTTTGGCCATACAGATCCTTCTATATCGACAAAAGCAGCAAATTCTGTTCAGCAGGCACAGGCATTTCCTGAACCACCTGCTAGGTGGGAAGGAGAAACAAAAAAGCGAAAAATAGATGACTATTTTGGTGCAAAAACTACATATAACGTGGCCATGGCAAATGGAGGTTTTGCTAGTGCAGGTGCATCAGGATCAAGGATCTATGGTTTCTCTGGCACTAATAGTAAACCCAACAGCACCAGAGACCTGACCCCACTAGAAATGCGAAATGTGCTAATGGAGAAGTCTCGAAAAGAGATTCTGAAGAAGTTGAACGAATGGAGATTGGTGACGGCAACAAAGGCTACAGATAAAGTGAAAGAGAAGGCAAAAGAGGGCAAGAGAAACAAACACCGAAGCACCAGTGGGCATGATCAGAATGGCAATGGTGGGCTGTCTATTCGCATGGTAGCAGATCGAGCTAACAAGTGTCTTGTTAGCCATTCTGCTGACACTGCAGGTAAAGAGGATAATGTGGCAGCACCCATGAATGTTCCAGATCCCGATTTTCATGATTTTGATCAGGACAGAGCTGAAAGTTCATTTGGAGATAATGAGGTTTGGGCTGGTTATGATGATGATGATGGTATGCCGCGTTTCTATGCTCTGATTAGTAAGGTAATCTCAAGGAACCCATTTAAGGTCAAGATCAGCTGGCTTAACTCAAAAACCAGTAGCGAATTTGGATCTCTGGATTGGGTAGGTTCAGGTTTCTACAAAACGTGTGGTGAATTTAGAGTTGGCAGATATGAAATCTGCAAATCTATCAATTCTTTCTCCCAAAAGGTTAATTGGTCAAAAGGCCCACGGGGGACTATTCTAATATTGCCTACAAAGGGTGATGTTTGGGCACTCTACAGGAATTGGTCGCCTGATTGGAATGAGCAGACCCCGGATGAAGCCATACACAAATATGACATGGTGATGGTACTTGATGACTACAGTGAGGAACAGGGTGTATCTGTCGCTCCTCTTGTTAAGGTAGTTGGTTTCAAGACAGTATTTCGTCCAAATTTGGACCCCCAAAAGGTCAAGAGAATACCAAAAGAAGAGATGTTCCGATTTTCTCATAGGGTCCCGAACCACGTGCTTAGGGGTGATGAAGCTGAAAATGCTCCAAAAGGTTGCATAGAGCTGGACCCTGCAGCTACCCCATTGGAACTTCTTCTGGTGATTATGGAAACTAATGAGGTGCCAACGATGTCCCATGGTGAGAGTTCTAAGGAAGAGAAATTGCAGAGCTCTCCAGATACTAGGTTAGACGACATTGCTAATGTGACCACAGAGGCTCAGGAAGTAGACAGAAAACAGTCTGGAGACCGAGAAACTGGGGGAAATGGGCTTTGAAGGGTAGCCAGGGAAGCAGCGCTTTTTTGTACGATGCTGGTATTTTTTTAACAAATGTTCAGAGTGCTGGATAGACACCCAGTATATAGACCTTTTCAATTGCACAAGCCCCGAGTATAATTGAAGGAGAATAGCGTTTTGTTGTGGAATCGGAATTGGGTGCATACTTTTGTTCTTCGTTTTGAACTCGATAAATGTGGAGACTCTGAACACTTAAAAGGTAGATCAAGTCTAACCCCAGTTTTGACAGTTAAATTGAGTAAAATTATGAAGATGAAGAACTTCATTCTTCTTTACTGTCTAGGTAAAAGTGAATGCTTTCTGCCTATTGAACATCATGTATAAGACAGGAAGTGTATTCTTTGTCGTGTTACTTGATTCTAATGTTAAAAACATGGAATTCATTTTTGTCTTGAAAGACTAAAAACATTTGTAAGTCGAAAAGGTTCATTTATATTTTGCTGCGTCTTGGAATTGACATGCGCAAGTATTTATTTTTCTTTTGTTGTGATATACATATTTCTACCCTCGGAGATGCAAGTGGTGATCCGATGCACGGTTTTTTGTTTTGTTTCTTTGTTAAAATTAGCATAATTTTTCTTAGATGCAATGCGCCTCTTACATCAAAGCTAGATGGTGAGCTTATACAATGTGCACGGTGAGCCTTCTGGAATTATGAAAAGAGTCAACGAGACTAGGTATCTTATTCAGTATCCACTTGGATGGGACCACGTTGAACCATCTCAACTGAAAGTTTAAACTATTAGAATGAGACTTCATTTTTCTAAATTTATAGTTTGACACATCACAAGATCTGTGATGAGCAGCAAATTTTTATATACAACAAACTTATTGCTCGACCATACGGCAAAAATCACATATGATCAAGCTGGTGCATCTACAGGTGAAGACAATATTTTAACGGTGGTGCTAGTGGTACATAGGGGTGGACCTCCCGAATAAAATTTTTTTTATTCGGGTGAATTTCACACCCCATGTGAGAGAGGTGTACACGCTTTGGTACACTTCATTATGTACCACTAGATTAATTCATATTTTAAACACATAAACAGGATCTCCCACTTTAATGCTCTTCCTCTTCCCTTGAGTTAGGAATCAGTTCAGTACAAACCATGTTTTTTCCCAAAATATACCTGCAAAATTAAGTGCTTAAGTTTACACAATTAAGTAGATTTATATAAAAGTCGTCAAAAATGCCAGCTTTCTAGAGCTAAACTGATCTTCCCCTGCTGTTTCTTGTTTGGACGCAGAAGTGCGGAACTCTATCAGAACGGAAGTTCATAAGAGTCTCGGTAGGCTCAGAGCCTGCCACCGCGGTTTCTTGATTTATTATGGGTACCTAAGAATTATGAAAAATTTCAAGAACACGAAGAACGTTCCGGCATTTCAAAGAAAAAGATCAAGTTTTTGAATGCAGGAACTTAGAAACTCAATTTTCCAGTGCAGGAATTCATGGTTTATAGATTCCTTAGTAACAGAAAATCAGAATTTTGGCAAAATAATTTTAATCAGTCTGAAGCATTTGTATAAATACAGTTACTCTAAATGAAATTTTAATATGCAACGAACATATTCTCGAAGAATGATGACATGTTGATGATTTCGATATTTGACTAGTTCACCGCCTACTATATAATGAACAACTAAATTGACGGCTACTCAATACATCTAGAGCATGCTTAGTATCTAGTATTCGACAAGATTGAAAAGTAAAAAAAAAACATACACGAGTAAATGAATACCAGAATATCATGGAATTGTGAATCCTCCAAAAGAAAAACAGCATTGGCGCGCAACCTCTGAAAATGTTGCGAGGATATAAATGTTTGGAAAATTATTGGTGTACATTATGGACATTATAATGGTGTCTAAATGTTTACCTTAAAACGAGAGCATAGTTAGTTAAATTATTGATCTTGATCTCTGTTCATAAATCCTCGGAAAAGGGTTCGCATCTATTAACCTAACATTCGGGTCTTACCAGTAATCATGTCAACATATAATGGAAGAAATTCTGAAGTCTGCTTTGCAATAATATTATGAGACGATTTTCAGGGAGTTTAATTTCTTCTCTTTTCTATTTCTTCGTTTCATAAGAGTTCTTATTTGGTTCCCAATCGTCGAAAAATGCCTCATATGGCAGTTCAACTCGATTTACAGATTTTTTGTGCATATACGAGTGAAACGGGTCGAAGTCGATCACGTTTTAGTCGTCGGATCCGTGCATGCACAAAAATACAAGGGTCACTTTGAATCTAATAGTTTCTAAATTTTTTGAAAGCGATGAACAACGAAATTTGTTTGGACAACCCTTGTCTCGACTTAAATTTACCTCTATAAGTAGAGAATCTCAAATTTTTAGTAATAAAAGATCCAACTAGTAGTACTAATAATAACATTCATTTTGATGTACGAACAATTGGATTGGTCAAAATTAATAACCACTCGAATTAAAATTGACCACTTTTCAGGACAAATGAACTTCAAATTGGGTAAAATGGACCTTATTTAATTGACTCCAATTTTAAAGATGAATACTGCTATTTAGGTCAAATGAATTTCAAGATAGATCAAATAGAACTTGATGGAGTTTAATTGACTCTGATATAAAAGATGAATATATTAAATTAAAAATATATAAAAAGAGAAATCGATAATATGTATGTTATGCTATTATAATAATGTTAAGTTAGGCTCCTTTTTATTTTCTTTCTCGCCTCTGTTGGAAAATTTTCCAAGAGTATGCACCTCGATCAGCTAGAATTAAGAGAGAAGAAAATCATATATAACTTCTCGAGTGCAATGGCAATTTTATTCATGAACAATAATGAAGAACATCGCCTTCAAGTACTGGGTGAGCATCGCTCGACATAATTATTGCTTTTTTTTATTATTAAAAAATCGATAACCTTCCTCACTTATGAAAAGTAATTAAAAAGTGTTTTTTTTTTTTAAATTATAAGTTTTTTGAATCCTAACATTAAGTAACAAAATCATGTTAACTTTTCCAGCACAGTTCCTTTATAGTACAAGAGTGATTAATAAAATTTCAATTTTACCACTTCTCACTTGAGCTAGACTTGATTTCATTTACCAATAATTTTGACCATGCCAAGTAACAACTTTATCATAAAATAAAAGTGGGAAAATTTTTCCACCAGCTATATATATCGCATAAAGGCATTTCGTTCTATAGCTTGTATTTGTGTCATTTATTTCGGATTGGCGTGAAGAGAGATTCTTTGCATGGCATTAACATGGCTTGGTTCATTTATCAAGAGTCATGTCATCCAAAACATATCAAAATATTGACTAGCAAATGTGTTATCCAACGTTCACTACCAAACATGACAGTTTACAATCAAATACTATACCTAAAAATCCAAAAGTTCATTAGAAAAGCCTCAGATACTATCCAATCTTCTCTATCAAATATGAAAGTAATGTAGTTGAAGACCATAATTATGCTCTATTTGCCACTCTTTTTAGCACGCTTTCCTTGGCCCTTCTTTGGTGGCCCCCTGCCACGACGTTTCAACATTTCCAGCTTGTTTAAGCGCCTGTCCACAATCTACTAAATGAGGTTCGAAGAATAATTCAGACATGAAAACTCAACTTCAACCTAGTCAAAAGAGAGAGGAAAATTAAACAGAATCAAAACTTCAGTTTCACAGTCACTCTACATCATTAGCCTACGTCTTCCCTTTAAATATCTTGGAAATAGTCCATCTATTGAACTACACATGCAACTAATTGTAACAATATCCTTCCAAATCCAGGCACAGTGATTTTGACCTGATTTTCCTTTTCCACCTTTTGTCTCAGGGATATAAGAAAGATGAAATTTTCGGCAGGTGAGGGTTGATACGATTCTCGAACTTTTATGAAACTTTGAATTGGTTTCTTTTTCTTTTTATTGCATAACCAATATCTAATCTGCCTCCAAAAGTTTCTTCTAAACGATAGTCCATAAATGTCTTCAAACATCTTGGAGGTTTATAAAATATATAGGACAATGCTACATGCACATAATTTTTTCATCTAATCCTTTACCTACTCCTCACAATAAGGGTGGGAACCACATTTGGGAATTTTTATATACACGAATGGCCCGCGTGCCTTGTGAGAGGGGGGACAACTTTCGGTACCCCCAATTCGATATAAATAGAATTATTCAAATATATATTTCATGGAAGGTACACCAACCAATCTTTCTAAAATACTGTCTAGTTTACAGATAATCATTACAATATTGAACATCCACAAAAAATTCTGTAAGATTCGTTCTACTCTCTACCTTCCTATCCTAGATTGAAAATACCCAAAGGTAACAGCTAGTACATCAGAGCAGCATCTAATGCTTCAAAACACAATTAAAATTCATATAATACTTTAAAACCTTAACGTCCTTTACCATGAAAACAAACACATTAAGGAGCATGCACAAAAAATAGCCATACAGAGTGAGGTGATTTATTACTCTTGTTCTTGACGGGCCATGACGAGGGGGTCATCTTTCTTAATGTCATCAGGGTACCAAGAGGCCACCTTCTCACCAATAAGCTTCTTGCGCAGAATCTTGTGCGGAGATCTCTGCCCAGTTGGGTTGAGCACATGACCGAATATCCGAACCCTTGCCAATTCCATACTCTTTATGGCTGCATCAGCCAGTACATTCTTCATGCTCCTTAGGTTGCCGCTCATCTCTATGACCTTACTTCCTACCTCAATTTGTGAAAGAAACTGAGTTAATAATGGAACAGAACGTACATTAATAATTTGGATGGGGATAACTATCAAACAGTTGAAGTGCATTATGAGAAACTAGACTCTTAAATAAACTAATCGAAAGCACAAGGAGAACATGATTAAGGTTAAATTGTTAAAATAGAGAAAACAGGTACATAAATCCTGTTACAGAAAGAGAACAAAATAGACGCAGAAATGAAGACTTTATCAAAGAAAAACTACTTGTTTTTATTCATAACGTGACTGCCTTTATATAGGCATTACAACCAACAAACTTGATAGAAAAATAGCAACAACCAACCAATATCTATTGTTACTTGGGCATAAAGAACAGGCAAATGATAACCAAACAGAGTAAATTCCTAAATAATAGGACAACTCATTTATTATGCTAATAAAATAAAACTTCAACACCCTCCCGTAAACCGATGTCTGCAGAGATCAGTTTAGTTTAGGAACACCAATTTGTAATGTCCTCCATTAAGTAGCTCCAGCTTCTTTTGAAGAGCAGACTCCAAGCATTAATCTAAACTTTTCAAATACAGCTTTCTTGAGAGGTTTTGTTAGTATATTGGCCACTGGATTTTCATTTTTACAAAACACCAAATCAATCACACTATCATTGCTGAGATTGCGCAAAAAATAGTATCTGACATCAATGTGTTTGCTCCTTCCATGAAGAACTGGATTCTTTGATATCTTAATTGCTGAAACATTATCACAATAGATTGTTGTTGCTTCTTGCTACTGATGTTGAAGTGTTTCAAGCAATCTTCTCAACCAAACAGCTTGACAAGAGGATAAAGCTGCTGCAACATATTCTGCTTCTCTAGATGATAAAGTCACTATTTGTTGCTTCTTTGATGACCAAGTTACAACTCCAGAACTCATCATGAAAACAAAGCGTGATGTTCTCTTTCTGTCTTCAAGGTCTCCAGCATAGTCACTATCAGAAAAACCAAACAAATTCTCCTTTGTTCCTGCCTTATACATAATGCCAAAATCTACTGTGCTTTGAGATAACAAAAAATCCTCTTAGCAGCCAAAAATGATTCTCACTTGGATTCTCAATGTACCGACTGATTAAACTAACACCATGCATGATGTCAGGTCTTGTTGAGGTTATATGCATCAAACTACCCACTATCTGCTTGTAAAGAGTAGCAATTTATCATTTTTAATCCATCATCTCTCATCAATTTTATGCCACACTCTGTTGGAATATAAGCTGGGTTGCAATCCTGCATTCTAAACCTATTTAAAACTTCAACAACATATTTTTTTTGTGAAATAAATGTACCAGCGGATGACTACACTATTTCTATCCCAAGGAAGTAGTGCATCAAACCCAAATCCGTCATTTCAAATTCAGTCATCATACTTTTCTTAAAAAGCTCAATCATATATTCATCATTGCCGGTATAAATCGGATCATCCACATATAGACAAACAACAAGTAATTTACCATTACTTCCTAGCTTTGTAAAAAGTGTGTGCTCATGAGGACATTTGCAAAAGCCTTCTCTAGCAAAGTAAGCATCAATACGACTATACCAAGCTCTTGGTACTTCTTTTAGTCCATATAATGCTTTCTTCAATTTGTATACCTTTTTCTCACTGCCTTGTTTCACATATCCAAGAGGTTGGTCAATGTACACTTCTTCTTGCAATTCACCATGTGAGAATGCTGACTTCACATCTAGTTGATAGACCTTCCATAAATTTTTGGCAGCCATGGATAGAACTACTCGAATGGTGTCTAACCTTGCAATTGGAGCGAACACTTCTTTGTAATCAACGCCAAATTCTTGTTTGTATCCTTTTGAGACAAGCCGAGCTTTGTACTTGTCGATTTCACCATTCTTTTTAAGTTTTGTTTTATAAATCCATTTCATGCCAATGGACTTTTGTCCTCTTGGAAGTTCTGACAGCTCCCAAGTGTTGTTCTTTTTAATTGATTTGATTTCCTCATTAATGGCTTTTTGCCATTTTGGTTCTTTGACGGCATCTTGGAATGTGAGAGGATCACAATCAGAAAACAAAACAAAGTGACTAAGTGATTCTTTAGATTGACTAATGTCAGCTACCTCATATCAACCATCCATGCTAGTCTTTTTCAAGCCCGAAGAGAACGTGAAACTACTGCTGCATTGATAAGTTCATCAGCTTCTGCTACTACTGGTGAAGTTTCAACATTTGCACGAGCTTCATTTTGTGGATTTTTGGAGTCAGAAACTGCAGTAATCTGATTATGTAGAAGTCGTTGCCTTTTTTCTTCATTTTCTCCGTCAAAATCTACTTGTATTCGTTGTTTGTCATAGTTTTCGTCCCATTTCCAGAACCTTTCTTCATCAAAAATAATATCACGACTAATTACAATTTTCTTGGTTATTGGATTGTACAATTTGTATGCTTTTGACTTCTCACTAATGCCAAGAAAAATGCATTTCTCTCCTTTGTCATCAAGCTTTCTCCTTTTTTTGATCTAGAATGTGGGCATATGCTATACAACCAAAGATTCTAAAGTGGTCAAGACTTGGTTTGCGTCCATTCCAAGCTTCTTCAGGCATCACATTTTGAACAGTAAGAGTGGGACTTCAATTCAAAATGTGAATGCTCCATATGACTGCCTCAGACCAGAATCTTCTTAGGATACGTCTTTTTGCCAGAATAGTTCGCACCATATTTAAGATTGTACGATTCTTTCTTTCTGAAACACCATTCTGCTATGGTGAATAAGCTACTGTAAGTTGCTTTTGTATTCCTTGGGTCTCACAAAAATTCACAAACTCTTGTGAATTGTATTCCCCGCCACGATCACTGCGAAGAATTTTAATAGGTTTGCCTGATTCTTTTTCGACCAGTAACTTAAAGCTTTTAAAAGCTGAAAAAGCTTCTGACTTCTCCTATAAAAAAGAAACCCAAGTTTTTCGATTATAATCATCAATAAACGTTATAAAATAACGCTTATTACCATTTGATGTTGGATTGATGGGCCAGCATATATCAGAGTGAATTAGCTCTAGCACCTTCTTTGCACGCCATGATTTTCCTTGCGGAAAATGATCTCGATGTTGTTTGCCAACAACACAATCTTCACATATATTATTAGGATGGGTAATCCAAGGAATTCCCGTTACCATATTCTTGTGAGATAGTCTTTAAACCATTGAAATTCAGATGGCTATAGCGATAATACCAAAGCCACGTTGGATCATTTGATGCTACTGAAAGACAAGTCTATATGATCTGAATTTGTAGTGGAAATAGCCTATTTTGAGACATCTTAACCTGAGCAATTAAGCCCCTTTTTGGATCATAGATTTCACAAACGCCTTCCTTGATTGTAGCCGTGTATCCTTTTTATTGTAGCTGCCCCACACTTAACAGATTGTTTCTCAAATTAGGAATATAAAAAACATTTGAAATAGTTTCAATATTATCATTTTTTGTCTTGATTTGAATATCATCCTTTCCCATAATAGTGACTTGTGAATGATCACCAAAGCTTACAGTTGTACGAAAATCTTCATTTAAATGAGAAAAGAAAGACTTGTTACCACACATATGATTGCCACATCCAGTGTCAACATACCATATGTCGAGTTCCAACTTGTTGTCATTGACCTAAATAGCTATCAATAAGGTTTCTTCTTCTTTCTTTTCTACAAAATTTGATTTCTCCCATTTTTCTGTCATGAGGCAATTTGGTATAACATTCAAAACGGTAGTGGCCAAAGTTGTGATATCTGTAACACTCGATTCTGGATTTATCAACTTGCTGATTATGTTTCTCCCTTTGGCTTGAAAATTTGATTCATCTCGATGCCTCCAGCTACCATTTCCTCGACTTCCTCCTCTACCTTGACCTCGACCTCTTCCCCTTGAACTTGAGGACCCAACATAAGTGGAGGCTTTTAAAGCTTGCTCTTCTGTAGTGGTGCTTTAAGTAATCTTTTGTTCATGAACTACCAAAGAACTTTGAAATTCATCGAGTGACAGAGAATCTGTATCTTTAGATTCTTCAATTGAACAAACAACATAATTATACCTTGGAGCCAAAGAGCGTAGAATCTTCTCAACAATGACTACATCTTCCATCTTTTTACCATGGAAATGCATTTTGTTTGCTATCTCGATAGTTTTAGAACAGTAAGTAGTCACAGACTCATTATCTTTCATCTGTAGAGTTTCAAAATCTCTTCTTAAAGCTTGAAGCTGGGCACGCTTCACTCTCGACGAACCTTGATACTTCTTCTTCATTGAATCCCAAATTTGCTTGGAAGTTTCTTTGCTAAGAATTGTTTCCAAGATTGGACGATCAATTGCCTGAAACAAGCAGTTTTTTGCCTTCAAATCTTTCAACTTCAGTCCTTCCAACTCTGCCTTCTGTGCTTCTGGGACAACCATCCCAACTGCTTGTTCTGGTATCCCCGAATCAACCACCTACTAGTACTCCTTGGATCTTAAAATTTTTTCCATCAACATGCTCCAGTGGTCATAATACCATCAAAACGTGGAATTACAGGTTGCACGAAACTTTCAGAGGCCATAATCTTCCAGTTGTTGCTGTGAATACAACGCACTGATTTGTTATTTTGGAAATAAGGCTGCTACCCCCTTTTTTTGGAACCTTAGACTCTCTACCTTATTGGTTTAAGACTTTTAACATCAATTTCTCTCTTCTTGTGGCTCTGATACCACTGTTAAAATAGAGAAAATAGGTACATAAATCCTATTATAAAAAGAGAACGAAATGGATGCAGAAATGAAGACTTTATCAAAGAAAAACTACTTGTTTTTATTCATAATGTGACTGCCTTTATATAGGCATTACAACCAACAAACTTGACAGAAAAAATAGCAACAACTAACCAATATCTAGTATTACTTGGGCCTAAAGAACAGGTATATGATAACCAAATAGAGTAAATTCCTAAATAATATGACAACTCATTTGTTATGCTAATAAAATAAAACTTCAACATAAATCATTCAAAACAATCAAATCGAGCGTGAAATCAACAGAAAAATCCCAATAAATTCAAAACATCTTTTTACCCAAATAAATCTACATTACCTTCCTTCCAAGTTTGTTGATGAAGAATATACTTATCCTTGTAGAAATCACTGCAACACAAGACTAAATTGTGCCAAGAGGGTAATGAACCCAGCTACTTTTTCCCTCTACTTCACACTAAATTGTTCCCAAAATTTAGTGCAAGAGCAAGGAAAACCGCAAAGCCAATTACTGGGTCTTTGTTATAGCTGGATATGTAGTTATGGATTACACAACGAAGATTATGGGCTTCTACCGGGCTTTAGTTATACCAAATCGTGTACTTTAGCTTCTCGTTTCTCAAATCAAGTTTTATTCTAAGGATCATAACTAAGTTAATCTATTATTAATATTTGAGTGTATATCTAACTTCTAATAAAAAAGGTGGGAGATTCCACTATTCATGCAATAGTAAATGAATCCAATTTTACTATGCATAATGTTATTTTTTATTTTTTATTTTGTTTATGTCAAACAAATGTTCTTCCACACATCATCCCACTAGTATTAAAAAATAATTATATCAAACAAATGTTCTTCCACACATCATATTACTAGCATTTAAAAAATAATAATAAATTTAGTAAATATAAACTGTCATAAGTATTAAAAAAAAAACTCACCTCACAGTGCGCAGAGATGGCAAACCATGTGCAGAGTAAAAAAGAAAGAAAAAACTCTCCGCATAGTGCAGAGAGATGACAAACCATGTACGAAAAGTTGACAACTCTCCGTACAGTGTGAAGTAAAAAAAATCTCTCCATACAGCGCGGAGAAATGGCAAACACCATGGCAAAACCCTCCGCGCAGTGCGGAGAGATGTCATTCTGTGCGAACTCTCCGCACTGTGCGGAGAGTTGGCAAACTCTTCATACAATGCGAAGTGACTGTCACGTGCGTTGCACGAATTTTGTATTTATTGTGTTTTTATTAGTGTATGAATTTTAACTTTTTGGAAAGTTTTTGGAGCAATATCTAGAAATATTTCCATAATATAAGAAAATAATTGTAAATTATTTTTACAATTGCATAACAGTATTGTGTCATCTAGAAAAAATATACTTATATATTTCATACTTGAATGAGAAATATATGAGATTATACAAATTATTTTGCTTGTATTCTTTGATAGTGTTGATATGATTGAGTTGAATGTGAAAATTATATTTCTAAATTTTGTGTAATTCAATATTGAAAAATTGAAGATTGAGCACTATATTCATATATATTTATATTTTGTGCTTCATATATATTTAATATTTATTTTATACTTATGTTGAAAAAATAAAAATATGGAAATTTTTTTTTGAAATTCGGTTTGGTAAGTGAATGTGCGGTGTTCTGCATTCTCAATATTTGTAAGTATAAAAATCGGTATATAAAAATGCAATAAGCTGCAAATACGGTAAACAACATATACGGTAAGTTGCAAATGCGGTAAGTTGTTTGCAAATACGATGGACTGTAAATACGGTAAGTTGTAAATACGGTAGGCAACATAGATGCTAAGGTACAAATACGGTAAGTTGTTTGCAAATACGGTAGGCTACAAATACGGTAAGTTGCAAATATGGTAGGCAGCATATACGGTAAACTGTATATACGGTAAGCTATCTGCAAATACAGTGTAATACCTCGAACTTCACATTCTACATTTGGTCAATATGATTCATGCATTCCATGCTAATTACATTGTCATTTGTATCAATTTCCTGATTGCCTTCTCTTAAAACGATGCATTTGATCGTCAAGACTTTAAAATCTTTACATGGTGATAACCTTCGACTCTTCGATCTAGGTGGTGAATTTTATATTGAGCTATGATAGAAAGTTAGATTAACTAAATGTTGGAGATTGGCTTGGTAAGTAATGTAATATTTGAAAGGCCGAAAAATTGTATCAACGAAAGTTCAAGCTTTCCATTCAGCTAATCGAGGTCACCTTAAACCCTAGATAGGTAATTCACATATTTGGGACATGAGGGATGAAGTGACATTATCACAACGTAATAATATATGTCTCATATGACATTATAAATATTGAGGTGCGAATTGTTGAAATCGGTTGAGAATCGGGTAAGAAATTAAATGAACAGTTGAGGAATTGGATCTATAAAATACTTTGGGATCTTAATGCAAGTGAAATAGATTGTAAGCACATCAAAATAAACCAATGACACTTGATTTATACCTGCAAGGATAGATGTAAAATCAGAATTTAATCAAAGGAGACAACACCTACTTAACATGTGATGATTTGCCACTTTAACCTCTAATTCCTTCAACCTTAAGCCTCCAACATGTCCTATAAGTCCTTAGAATTTTACACAAGATATTTATAACTCTTCTAAGTCACATATGGCTCCATGTGGTGCAAGGGAGAAGTCAAAGTTGGCTGCAAGAATCCACCTCCTACTTGGACAGCTCATGCTAGGGGACTTTTTTCTTTAATATATAATTGCTTCAACATTAAGGCATAAATTTCGTGTCTAATCCCCAAGGACTTAATATAGGATAAATATATATCTTAAATATCATAAATGGACACAAAAATAATGGTAGAAAAGTCAAGTATTGCAGCCAAGATGACAGCTCCTGCTTAGTGACTCACCTTGATTGCTTGAGGTGGCTGCAGCTCATGATATTCTTAATCCTTAAGTAATATGCATGACTTTAACCATTTAAAGACCACTCATTTACCTCCTAGATAATATGTTAACTCCCTTAACTCGTCCCTAAGTGATTCCAAGAGAAAAGAGGGTGAAACAGTCAAAGGGAAATAGAAATAAGAAGCTGGAATTTCTGAACAGCTTTGTTACTCCACAGTTTTGAGGTTTGTTTCTATTATTTCTTAAGGGGTTTATGATTTCTTGAACATCTGAACTCGTTTGTGATTAAGTTGGAGTGTTGTTAATGATGTTATGATGCCTAAATAGGGGTAATTAATTGCAAGAATTTGAAAGAAAGTAATCTGGACAGAAATGAGGAATTGCTGGATTGAGTGATTTATACCTTGATTTTGGGATGATACTTAGTGTTTAACTTATATATATCAATATGAACGTTTTTATATGTAAGTAGGGAGTGTAGAAATGATTTTAATGGCCCAGAATTCTGTTGGTATCATAATAATAAAATGGAAACCGAAAACAGTCAAAGAGAAAAACTGCCTGATTTTGTGTAGTGGAAAATGGACTGTTTTTGAAGCTCCAAACACTTCATTTGTCACAATGTTATGATCTGATTATCTTCACATATATGTTATAGGTGTGTGGTAAAAGTTTGGGAGCCGTTAAATGTAGGTAAGGACATGAAAAAGAATTTGAAAAATGAGTGGACGGTGATGGAAACCTAGAAAACAGATTTTGTCCATTTGGGTATTTAATGTGATTTCAAACATTTAGATGTCCCCTAATGAACTCTTGGGCCTAAAAAATATATCCTAAGGAATATTAGGTTTTCGAAAACAATTGGATGACGTTGACGTTCATAATTGGACTCGAGAAATAGCGAGACTTATGGGATTAGTTTGTAATGCCATCGGTAACTTGAAATAATGATTTTGTCTAAATTGTTTTGGCGTGAATGAACGTATTTTGGGATTGTGTGTGTTAAGATTAGTAAATGGAGGATTGTATTTAATATTAGATGATAATATAGGCGACTTTTCGAAGTTGAGCGAAAAAGGGAATTGATACACACTCCATAGGAGCTTACACACATAAAGGCGAAAGGTAAGTGAAAATCCATTTGCAACTACGATGCAAGAACCTAGTATATGTGACATAGTAATGTTGAAATATCTACATAACTTTGATAAGAGGCTTATAGCACATCATATGATGGTTACGATCTTTGAGTATGAGGTTGCGTAACCTATTGACACCGATTTTTATTAAATACGTCATTTATGAGTATTTTCATATGCATGCACGACATGTAACATGGTTGAAAATCCTGCATGCAAAATATGATTTCAAAGTGAGTTACATTATAAATGTTTTATCGACCACTACTAGGGCACCGAGGCATGCGAGGCATGCTTATGTGATATGTTTGGCATTGCGGGTGTTACTTCCTGGGTGATTGCAAAGGTAAATAGGGGATGGGCCTTTGGTGATCACGGGAGGGCGGACCACTCGACTGTGCCCTTGTGATATCATGATTATTGGCGCTGCCGGGTGGGAGACTTCTTGGGTGATCATAGGGGTAGTCAAGGGATGGGCCTCTAGTGGTCACGAGAGGATGGTCCACTTGTCGGTGTCGATTTCATACTGGCCATTTGATTATTGATATTGATATTATGCAGAGCTCTATCCGGTGCATAGTAGGTGGGTCAAGAGCCCAATGAAATGAAAGATTTCAAGTGAAATGATTTCTAATCGACTTTGACGAATATTGAAATATGATACTTTTTATCGTGATATTTAAAGTAAATGGCATGGTGTCATATGTCGTTAATACTCATGTTCAGGACATGTATGATTTTGCTTACTAAGCATTGGCTTATGTAGTTCTTACATTGTAGGTGAACATGGAACTACATAGAGAGCATGGCTAGTTGTGGAGCTCCTACAGGATTCCAGAGTTCGATGTACATGGATGACGACCTGTAGGGTTATTTTGTAGGCTGCCATCTGTAGGGTTATATTTTGGAATCCTATATAGTGTACTTTTGAAATGGCCTGTAGACATGTTTATAAGCTCAGAATATATATATGTTGGATTAAGGCGATATGATTTTGGGTTTCGATATGTTATATGATCGTGTCACAGGTGATTAGAAGTTAACAAACTCGAAAAAAAAAATATGTAAAATTCTATATCTAGGTTGTGTATAGATATCAATGTTAATTTGGGGGCGTGACATAAGGTAAGCTGCATATATGGATTTATAATTTGTTATAAATGTATAAATTTATTTAATATTGAATTTCTTAAGTATTTAATGTTGTAATTAAATATTGTTTCCTTTTTTATAATTGTATTTCTAAGAATTTAAAAAAAAAAAAAAAAACTTGGTTATAAAATTGCTAATTTTTAAATGTATTTTTTTGTTGAAGATAAAAATAATTTTTTATATTATTAGTAAAAAAAATTATTGTAATTTTATTAGCGTAATAAGAAGATTTATTATGCATTTTTATTTTTTGCATTTTATGAAGAATTTTGTTTTTGGTTATTGACAAATATTCTTCCACACACGCATCATGCCAACAGCATTAAAAAAATAATAATCGTTTTAGTATATATAAACTTCATGAGATAAAAAAAATAAAAAAATAAAAAAATCTCCGCACATGAGTTAAAAAAAAAAGACTCCGTAAAGTGCAGAGAGTGGCAAACTATTTCTCCGCACGGTGTGAAGAGAAAAATAAAAACTCTCGGGACTTTATCTGCAAGTTTCAAGATGTCTTTTCTCAAACAACTTTTGAGCAATGCATTGAACACTTTAATTCCTAGCTTACAACCTGTAAGTATAATTTCAATGAAAATTGTATCCGCTCCTAATGTCCAAGAGCTGTTATCAAGCAAGTGTAAAATATTGAATTTTTTTGGTACCCTAGAGCCTCTATTTGTGAAAGCAATGTCATGGTACTATTAATATCTCCTTCTTTGCACAACTCGCATATTGTTTCATTGTATGAATCACGAGAAAGCTCATTTCTAATACCATAATTATGATTTGCAAGCACAAAAATTGAGTTGTGACTAGAATTTAAGAAGACATAATTGATTTTGAGCCATGTTTTTTGACTCTGTTTCATTGTATATACGAAAAATTTACAATCTTGAATTTTGACTTATAATTAAGGAATTTGAAAATAACTCTCTGCACTGTGCGGAGAGTTTTTTTCTCTGTACTGTGCGGAGAGTTTTTTTTTACTCTACACATAATTCAACTCTTTTCGCACTGTGCAGAGAGCATTTTTTTTCTCTCCGTACTTTTTTTTACTCCGCACATGGTTCGACTCTCTACGCACTGTGTAGAGAGTTTTTTCTCTCTCCACACTGTGCGGAGAGTTTTGTCATGGTGCGGACCAACTTTCCGCACAGTGTGGAGAGGGATTTTTTTGCTATCCTTACTGTGCGGAGAGTTGGTTTGTCATCTCTTCACACTGTGCGGAGAGTTTTTTTTTTTTACTCCGCACATAGTTCAACTCTCTCCACACTGTGCGGATAATTTTTTTCTCTCCATACCTTTTTTTTGTTTTTTATTTTTACTCCGCACTTGGTTCAACTCTCTCCGCATTGTACGGGGAGTTTTTTTTTTTAATTTTACAATATTGAATTTCACAAAATTTAGAAACATAATATTCACATTCAATTCAATCATATCAACACTATCAAAGAATACAAGCAAAATAGTTTGTATATTTCTTATTCAAGCATGAAATAAACAAGCATATTTTTTCTAGATAACATACTGTTATGCAATTGTAAAAATAATTTACAATTATTTTCTTATATCATGGAAATATTTTTAGATATTGCTTCAAAAACTTTCCAAAAAAACTAAAATTCATATACTAATAAAATACAAAATTCGTGCAACGCACGTGATAGCGACTAGTTTCTATTAAACTCATCTCGCAGAGAGAGTGATTATCCTTACTGTTTAGAATTTCTTCCCATTTTACTTTTTCCGGTCACATTATTCATTTTTTGGACCTACACTAACAACTAATTTAATTTGAATTTATATTCACATCACAATATCACAGCTTTTTCAAACTTAGTCGATGAGAAAAAAGTGTATATTTTATTTTGTCTCTTTAGTCACATAGCATTGATTACATTGAGCCGTTGTCGAGGATGAAATACACACCAAATCGATTCATTTATGAAATGTACACAACAGAACGGATTACACAACAAATGTCGCAAAGTCTAGAATGACATTTCATTAATCAAATGAAAAGTTGTATTAGAGGTCACAATATACGTCAAATCGTTACTCGTAGTAATCTAACTTGTTCATGATAAGAGAAGAGCGAGAAACAATGTCATTTGACTATAATCCCATTTTATTTTTGTACACGGACGGTCGCATAGATGAGTATGAAGAGCGAATAATTACTTTGTTGAAATTTAAGAGAACAGTTTTCTTATGTAGGCCTGGACACTCAGATACAGAATGACCAGCTTGGAAAAGTGGGTCACAACCTGAGCCGGTCTGAACAGGCCGACCCGGCTTAATACCAATAAGGACGATCAAAGAAGTTCTATCCATATCTTTCCAATGTTCATCAAGATGTCACTTTTTTAATTCTGAAAAGAATGCACGCTCATATTTGAAAACGCTTCAATCTAATCAAAAGAAAAAAGACATGAAACCAAAACAAAGTTCCAGTATCATTAGCCTTCGAGTTTCCTTCAAAGTTCTTGGAAATAGGGTCCCATCTACCAATATGCAACTAATTGTAAAGATTTCCTTCCAAACGCAACACAGTAAATTCAACGTATGTTTCCAGAGATATAGGGACGAAACTTCGAGAAAACCATCTCCATCATAAAAAATTTGTATAAAAAGAAATCATTTACTAGTACGTGAAAGACATGAGGAACAGGAAACTTAGAACAAACTGTCACGAGCTCGTAGTTTTTAAACACCGCATCTCAGAAAAATCCACGCACGTCAAAATCGCGCACAGAAGTCAAAGAAGATTTCACGCTGGCTCATAAAAGTTGATAAATATTAAGATTAATATACAGTACTATTCTTGTTTAGGCATGTGTCCAGTACCAGAATCTTTCCATTAAAACTCCAGACAAAAATACGAAGAAAAGGATAAGTAGTTATATATCCTGATGAAGCAATTAATAATGCGTTGTCCAGTCGGAGGATATCATATCATAATCAAAACTACATATTCATTCTTCTACACATGGATCAAGGCAGAGAACTCTCTGGCAGTTTTGCCTGTCTGCAGTTTGGGCTATTGACGATGATAGGGAGGCATTGGGGCAGAGTGCGGTAGACCACCCTGGCTATGAGACGGTGGCATCATCCCAGGAGGCATACTTCCAGCATGGTTGTAAGGGTAGTTGTGCATATGCATTGGCATCGATTGATGAACTGCTGTACCAGGCGGATTCCAGCCTGCAGAAGGCTGAGGCACAGGGTGACCATCAGGGGATGGAGCATACTGGGCTCCGTTGTATGGATGAGAACCTGGACCTCCGACTGAATATGGTTGCTGCCCTAATAAGGAGGGTTGAGAGTTCAATACAGGAGTATTGGGGACTGTATAATCTCTGCTTCTATCATTATTTACCTGAAATCAACACAATAAGCTCTGCATTTTAGATGTTAGCCATAACATTTATGTAAAATATATGTTAGTTAATACTTTTATGACATGAATGGTAAGGTAGATTAAATAACATTGGACAATACTTATTAAATAAATAAATAAAAAGGGCAGACTAATCATATAAATTAAAAATATATATAAACGAGTTGTGGATAAGTGGATAGTACTTGTGAATTCTACAAAATGAAACGTGTGGATAAAAAGTGATTTGACCAATTATAAATAGTATAAAAACATAGACTAAAATTGTATTATCGAATACGACCTAATACTACATACCAAACATGCACTTATTGGAACAAGACCACGGTTATCTTTACAAGATGATCAAGGAAAAGAACGTAATTCGCCCAATAAATTACTGAAGTTCCATGAAAGAAACTAGAAAATACATACTGCCCCCAGGATAAAACTAACTGTTGACAAAATCTGCAGTCGGGGGGTGCAGGATGCCATTGGTCAGACAACAGAGGTGCAAAGCTATGATTTTGCCCCGTAGGCTGCATTCTCATACTTGACTATAGTTTGAAAACTTAAATAGTTTACTTTAAAGCACGCTTAACTAATCTTAAAAGTACATTTATGAGTAAATAAGTTCTATCCATAATTGTTTTTTATTAGTCAAAGTTAGAAATAAACAAGTGCGCATTTGGTTTGCCGTTTTGAAACTATTTTCAGTTTTCAATTTTCTAAAACACTCAAAACGTGTTTGGTATATTATTTTCAAAAATGCGTTTTTGAAAACAATAAAAATTTTACAACACCAAACTCAAAATGACTTTTTGACGTTTTCTTTAAATAAGTTTAATAAAATCTCACAAAACCTACCAAAATACAAATACCTCTCTCTCTCTCTCTCTCTCTCTCTCTCTCTCTCTCCCCCCCCCCCCAAAATGTTTTAAAAATATTTCTAAAATTTTTAAACTAAACACATTTTCTAGTTTTTTTGTTTTGAAAAAACAGTTTTTCAAAATGACAAACCAAATGTGTTTTCTACAATCTTAGAATAATTCCAAGAAATATAAAATAGAAAATGAATTCAAAACTGAAAAAGTAACCCAAACCAAACGCACCCTAAGAATTTCAAGATTGAGGTTGAAAAGCAGCGCGAGAAAAATATAAAGATTGTTAGATATGACAGGGATAGAGAACATTAAAGTAGGCATGGATCTAGTGGACAATGTATGGGGACTTTTGCCATGTATTTACAAGAATGTGGAATAGTTGCTCAAAATACTATGCCTGGCAAA